CTGTAACGACAACTGATCAAAACAGAGTAACTGAACCACATTCATTTCGCAGATGCTTTTGCTTGTTTTCTTCAAGGAATCAAGCCAACAACCCTACCACTAATGGCTGTGACACAACTTCCCCAGTATCTCTTACAATATTAGTTTCCAGTTTCCTCTAAGTGTGTTTGGGAGCAGCAACTGCACATCAGATTTGCCTTTTTTTCTCTGCTGTGATGGATAAACACAACTTAGCAAGTATCATGTCACAATGTTAAAGTCCTCAGACCTAATTTGATTCAAAGCTATTTCTTTAGCCTCATGTTATTGTCAAACAGTATGAAAACAAAATGGTGTATCATCATTGTCTGTTTTTAGAATTGAACTTCATCTAGCTCATCTCCCTACTGTTTCCACAACAAAACTGAGATGGTCTCACACACACACACACACACACACACACACACACACACACACACACACACACACACACACACACACACACACACACACACACACACACACACACACACACACACACACACACACACACACACACACACACACACACACACACACACACAGTTACAGTATATAACAACCAGCATGCACAGAGTCCTGTAGGCAATAACAAGTGGGCTGTCAAAGTGAGTCATCTCTGATTTGTAGATAACGCAACGAATTTAAGTGGTTGCCAAGGCTACTGACATGTTATCAGGATTTTAAATTTTAAACGTCCACTATATGTGAGCAGCAAACAGTGACGGATAACCATCTGTAGATGAACCAGTGAGAGGATTTCCTTCAGCCTACAGTGTGAATAACTAAGAATAAATGGCCTGCGTGGAAAGTGAAAACAGACTCATTCAGGTTTAAGCAAGACGTGAGATAAGAAGAAATCAACCTTATCCGGATCCTGCAAGAAATAAAGTGGGATGAAAACCATGAAAACAAAATATGGAACAATAATACCATTATTGAACATTACTGTTTCCCGTTAGCTGGTCAAAGTGACTTGTAATTTCTTTCAACTTCCTCTTTCAGTCGAGCTACTATTTCAGCCTCAATTTGAAATACCTGATGAAAGCATACAGTGCTGTTATTTCTATTAATAGTTTGGACTAAAACTTTGGTCTGTTGTGCAGGCAGAGCAGTTCATATACGTAAATGCTTAAGTGTTTATATCTATCAATAAATATATGTCCACGGCCTCTGCTCTGCAGCGGCAGCTGGTAAAACCCTAGGACCTCTTTTCTCTAATGAATAAGTAGTGAGACAAACAGCAATGGGCAAAGCCATTCAAAGACTTCCCCTGAGGATATAAATCAATAACCTTCAACCTCAGTGCTTCCTCTTTGAAGCGATGCTGCTGCAGCAGTCAGATCACGAAGGGCTGGATGGGAGCATGTTTTCTACTAGAGAAACAACTGCAAGAGAATCAATGATATTGAGATGATAAGCAGGAAAGGGCCACAGGCTACATTCAAACCTTGGCCACCTAAGGACTCAGCCTTGGCACATGGGGCATGAGCTCTACCAGGTGAGCTACCAGGAGGGCCCCAAACATCTCTGGTTTTGGGTTTTGCCCTATTAAGTATTTAAAACTAAAGTAAAGTGCCTCAGTTTGCAAAAATATCCAAAACATAAAACATACAGGCACTTCGGTATACTGAGTGTAAAAGTGAGTATGTCTAGGTATGAATTTAAAATGATATTTTATATTACTTAATCATTTTCAAGTTAGGTATTAGGTAAATGTTTCTACATATTTGCTTTTATTTAAAAATCCAACAAAAAAACAAAAAGAAAAAACAAAATAGATAGTACATCTTAGTTCATAGTCTTCAACCTTTCAAAGAGAAGCCTGATTTTGTGTTTCTATCAGTGAGAGTATTGAGGGAAATATCATTTCTATACAAAACACAATGTTTTCCCCATTAGTACATTATTACTGTCCTCCTTCATGTGTGGCCGTAGTCTGCAGGCGGTTATCAGAACCCAGTTCTCAGTGTGTAATGGGTTTCACTACATGCATTAAATAACAACAAAGTGCTTTCTTAAAAGCATCAGCATTACAAGTCTTAACCACTCGGTAGATCAATGGCCCTTCCACACTGCCCCCACCTTCCCCTCGGGTTCAAACAACCTAATGTTGAGCGCATACTCACACATAGACACTCTAGACAGACAACCAAACTTTAATGCTTTGTCAAGAAAGAATGCTTTGTATTGATTCCCAGAGTGCAGAGAAACACATTTTCTGCCTCAGTCTTCTTATCTCTACTTCAACAATATCCACATAAAAGAGAGCTGACAGGATGTGGGATGAGGACAAAACTGCAGATTATTCATTCATATTTGTCAGTCAGCTGAAATCTTGTAGTTTTTTTTTTTTTAAAGAACATTACAGCTTGTAAGCAACACCAGATCCAAATAATACTCTACACACCTGGCATGGCCACGAGTGCTGTAATCCATTCTCCTTACAATCTGATCCTACACAATCAACACAGATGCTATTTCAATTAAACATTCACCGATCGAATAGACTGCAGTGTCAACTGACCACCATCTCTGTATGTGTGAGCCACCAGATTGTATGATAAATATTTCCAAGTTAACATGTAAGTGAGTCTTAATCATCGTGTGTTTCAGTCCCACTTGTATTACAACCGGATGTGAAAATTTTTATTTACATATTTATTTTCGCTTTAGATAGAGATGGTAGAGAGTGACACTGACAGGCTGAGAGAGAGAGAGAGAGAGAGAGAGAGAGAGAGAGAGAGAGAGAGAGAGAGAGAGAGAGATTCAGATTCAAACCCAGGCCGCTGCAGTAAGGACTCAACCTTCATATGTGGTGATGAGCTAATGGCCAACCCATATATTTTTAACATTTTAAATTCCATATGGAGACACTTATTTAAACCTACCTGATAAAATTGTCACTAACCAGGTGTGATGTATGGTTTGCAAAATTGAGGTTGGTCTAGGGATGTGTCCAGATTTTATGATTAATGCATACAGGAGCTATTAGGATTTATGTCAGGAAACTGCATACAGCCTAGTGTACAATTTTACTCCAAAACTGAGAGATTTCTCAACACAATATTAAACTCTGCATCAATCTTATCTGACACCTAGTCCACTGTGGGGGATGTATGTGGCACCTGATTCATGGTAAAAGAGATAGAACCGCTCACTGAGTCACAAAACCTGCAGGATTTTACAGGTTTGCCTGCTTAAAATCATCAAGCACCATTAGAAATAATAGATAACAGGGTCCATTATCCACAGCATGAATTACATAAGGATTTTCTCAGAGCAGCAGCAACACAGTCTGTAGGAGTCACTAACAACACTTCACTTGACAAGACAGATGAGTTCACTGGGAGCTTCTCAGGTTCACAGCAGCACTTAGGCAATTAGAAGGAGACCCAGACAACAGGAGTTTTAAAAATAAACAAAATATGAGGACAGATAAAAGCCCAATTTGAGTGTTTCAATGCATCTTAGTAATTAAATTAGTCCAAAATGAAAAAAAGAATGAGCATACAACCACCAATCCTCTCAGCCAATCCACACACACTTACGGTTGAACTCCCTGCGGCAGACATGAGGCCTCCAGGGTCGGTTTCGTATCCAGTTCAGGCGTCGAGGCAACTCCATGATGCCAAGCTGGTGCCAGTGTGTAATGGCCACTCACCCATCAAGAGCAGCACCCAGGTTGTTCTGCCCATCCCCGAGACAGATACTCCCTCCAGATCCTTAGTGGATGCCAACTAGCACCTTAGCAGCCTGGACCTTTTTAAAGCCAATGTTTCACTTTGTCTGCAGCCTGTCCTGCAGTCTCTGGGAGAGAGCTGTTACAGTAGCTGCTGTGGTGCTCGGCTACATTTCCCCTTCGCTGCTTTATCTTTTATGCATGAGTCAGTGGAACCCAACTCCCTCTGTCCCGGGCAGGGAAGGAGGTAGGCCTCTCCCCAGGAACGAGCTCCTAGCTGGGCAGCATCTGAAGCGAATAGTGCACACCTTGCTGAAATGTGATGCCTCTGCACCGACCCCCCTCGTGGGGAGGCAAGGTGGATAGACAGACAGGAGGTGGGGCTTGGTCAGATACCTGAGGAGGCTGGAAGGAGGACGGTCAGACAAATACACAAAGAGATGCGCAGTTTCTGTGCATACATGTGTGTACATACAGACAGCATTTGGTCTATAAATCTATGAATATAAAAGCTATGAGTCAGAACAAACAAGTATAAATATAAAATCTACATCATACAGATTATTCATGACTGGATTTCTCCTCTCTGGGATAGTTAGTAATGTTCACTGCAACCCCAACGTTAACATGTTCTCCTGCATGTGGATATTATATTATACTATATACCAACTCCTGCTACTGCAATACTGCAAGAATCTGCTATTTTTTCACTGGATAAGTTATCAGACAATGTTTTGGTGATAAAGAGAATGGGGATTCATACCATACAGTTGCAGTCTCTACACAATTAATCTTATGGAGATTTTGTATTGCATCCATCTGCTTCTGTGCAGTTATAATCTGGTTTTAAGGGGTAAATGTATAAGTCAATCTAATAACGTTTCATCACAAAATACTCCAATCTGGTTAGCTACATAAGAGATGTTTTCTATAAAATGTCAGAAAATATAGTATAAAATACCCATGAAAATGTCCCTCAAACTTTCTACAAATCCTCACATTTACAAAGCTGAAACAAGTGAATGTTTGATATTTTTAAATTGGAAAATTACTCGAAGATTAATTATCGAAATAGTTCCAGATCAATCTTCAGTCAATAGACTAATTGACTAATTGTTTATTTCATGCAGAAAAACGGGACACTGTACAGGACAAAAAGGGGAGTATATAGAAACCATCTCTATTAATCTTCAAATTAGCATCAATTTAACAGACGTTTGGTCAGCAGCTTCAATGCAGTTTATAGCAACCCATTTACAAAATGTACCCAGAGCTGAATCAAGAGTAACAGATCAATAAGTTGCAGTTTGACAGGATTTTATTAAGTGTTACAAGACTATGACCTCTAGTGGCTGTGTGCTGTCCATTGCCACTAAAGGTTGGACGGGTCTATATTTCCAGTTAAGGTTGAGGACACAGTCAAATTTAGTGAGACGCACATTCTGTTTTGCTTTTATTCAAATAAAACAACACTTTCCTGCCTCAGTCCGAGCAAACAAGACATGAAAAGTATATCCTGCCATTTGGTTTGTCCAAAATATGATAAATAAAAACAGTCAACAATTCTACACATACACAAAACACAACCCAACCAGAACGCCCAAATTGGTACCTGATGAAATACATAAAATATAACATTCAAGTTTCTGAGTCTATAATAAGTCCATAAAATGACAGAATGAAAAATACATTGTAAATATTATGCGTTTACTGCAGATATGTTAGTTTTTCCTTTCAACACACACACACAAAACTGACTAGTATAAATGATGACTTTGACCCCAGAGAAAGCAACATTCAACAAATATCTGTGTGCTTCAGTTGGCTGGTGTTGTGGAAGTGCTTTTATCAGGATGGTTCAATATAAGGCCAGAATATTTCCAACCGATAGTTAACTACATCTGAAGCAGATTCATTTTTTTTTTTTTTTTTGAACTGAGCACCCAAAGAACATTTTGGCAAACCCTACAGCAGTGTGTCAATGATTGTGCTCAAGACACCGTACACAAAAGCAACGTTACAATATCAAAAATAGACACGGCCTTTGGCAGACCACACTCACAGAAGGCACGTACAGTTCATAAAGACCACTGTACAGTTCATAAAGACCACTGTACACTGCAAACACCACAGTTAGTTTCTATCTGTAGTTACAGCTATAGTTCTCACTAGGAAGAAGAGACACTTTGCTACAGGCTCACTGAGCATAGAGATGGTCCAACTATTAGCCTGTTGAAGACCTTTGGTTATGCACTGTGAATAAATGGTCCAATTGGTTATATATATATATATTCAAAAAGGCAACATTACATTAAATATCCCATCTGTGATACAAACTCTCAAGGTAAGAGTGGCTAAAAAAAGAAAGATAAATATCAGCAACTACATGTGCACATCAGCATGGTTGATCCTGAGGTATGTATCTATAAAGACACCGTTCTGAAGGTACCTTTTCTTAATCTAGAAACAATCACAAGTTTTAAAACTTTTCAGTTACATTCCTCACACCAGTTTGTGGTTGGAAATGGCTAAAAAAGAGAGAACAAGGTAACAAGATGACAGTAAATGCATAAACACACAAGCTGCAGATGGACTCTTGAATGACACTTGGGAGACAAACTACAGCTCGCCTCTTGAAGTTAAGATTAGCTACCACTAGGAGGCAACAGAAATCAAATATAGCCCTGAAGATGCATTTAAAGGATTTAGCTGAAAGATAACATTTCACATGCATGTGAACAGTGACAGATTTATGATCATATAGTAGGATCACCACTTATAAAATGAAACCACTTAAAGTCAACTGACACAAGAAGTAACAGCACTTGTAAATAATCTCTTCATAACTAATTACTAAAAACCCTCTACACCCGCCAAGTTGGCCCTTCACTTTAGTAATAGGTCATAATAAAGCTTTTCCATAACAAAAAAGCCAGCTGTAAAACAAAACAGAACATGCAAGATGTGCAAATTTGCAGCAGTTTACAGAGGTCTGTCAACAAGTCCAAGAACAATGTTTTTGGACATTTTCTGGCTGCCATACAGTTGATGTATAAACTCTAGCTAAAAAACTAACGTAACTATAATTGTGACATACACACTGGCAAATAACTTGCCTGACGTTGATGCAAATCCATCAAACCTTTAAACACAAGCAGTGGGAGGGTCTTTAAGTCTGCACCTTTTAGCATTTAAACCAGTGGCTGGGACTCAACCCATTGGGTCACCAGATAAATCTCGTTGTGAGCGACGGGATTTAAAAAAATATATTTAAGACTTTATATTTGTGAATTACTGAGGACTATTATGATCTTAGGGCCGTTAAATGTTCAAATAGTAAGAAGAATTATTTGTTGGCTGAATTGGCCACCATACTGTGACATTTGCAACCTTGGAGGGGTGAGTAACTTCATATTTCAGTTGGGAACCACTGGTTCAAGCTCATCTTTCCCACATTCACATAAGCTACAGTAGCGTGTTTCACATGTGAGACGTGAGGCAACACATGTACGACATTTAATTAACCTTTTTTCAACTTCACATATGTATTTTCTGTACCAACCTCCTGTTTGTGAATAAATCTCCGCAGGCATCTTTGCTGTGTCAGGTCCTTCTGGATCAGGTTATTAATTTCCATGTGCTGCAGTGTCACCCTAAATCTTTCGGTCAGCTTATGTACGTGTGTGAATTGCAGTGTATAGGCATGTGTGGAGGGACAACCAACACTGCATTGTGCAATAGCATGTGAATGTGCACGAGGTCCACTGAGTTAATCTATACAGTGCTGTTTGTTGGAGGGTTATCATGTACAAATTCTAAATTCTGCTTCTTTATTTCTATGGCTCGTGTGAGAGAAAGAGTGTGTTGAGCTCATCTCTCCAGTCTCTCAATCGTTCTTCCTACAACCAAATCAAGTTACACTCCTCTAAATACTGATTGTCTGCAGCTCACAGGTTCCTTTGTGTTCGTTCTTCCTCTGCCATCCTTCCATACAGTCCCGGCCGAGTCCTTTGTTGCCCCATCATTTGACCTTTTCTGGATCTATATTGTCCAGGTCAATATCAGGCGAGGCCACACAACACATGCACAGTTTTTGGGTGTATAGGGAGATCCTATCTGCAGTGACAGAAAAAAAAAAAAAAAAAGATTTGCACTCAAGATATGATCTTAATACAGTAAATTGTAAATTAGTTTTATAACAAACAGCCTTAAGCACTGCTGGTTTAAACATTTTAGCATAACATCAACAGTACTATCAGGAGACATTCCTCAATAGCAGCCGTTTTATACTTGAACTACAGAACCCTTTGCAGTAAATGGGCTTGAGTACTGTACACTGAACTTTGAAACACTAATCTCAAATCACTCGTCAGCTCTTAACTACACTAAGAGGAGCTTTTACACGGTAGCTGGTCTATATGCAACTTAAGACCGGTAAGCTATAGAAGTGATCCATAATATCTTAAAACCGCATTCACTCATAGGGAAATTCTACAGCCTACAGTATGTCTCAGGACATTCAATGTTTTTGTACAGTAAGAAATGACATCAATCTTGCTTTGTAAGTCTGTAGCTTTTACTTACAATTATGTTCTACAATACTGTTTGCGGACGACAATTTAAACCTTTAGAAAGTCAGACATGTTGGTACCCATGGGTCTCTGTATGAAGGTTGAATGGTCATGATTAATTGTGCTCCGATCAGGGTTTTCGAGGCTGATCGATAGAAGCAGTATCAGCTGATACCAATCACCGGGTACTAGGGGTGGGCGATATATATCGTTTGCGATAATATCGTCATTGTCGTTTTGACGATGTGCAAATTTCCATTATCGAGTATTTAAATTACTTCGCCAAAAATATTGAAACACACGCGGAAACTCCTCACATCCACTTAATACACGGTGCAGCAGCGCTCTCTTCAGCATGGCAGGATTCAGTCGCAAGACTAGTGGGCCTACGCGATCACATGACCTGATCAGATGACCTGATCAGATGACCTGATCACATGACCTGATCACATGACCTGATCACATGACCTGATCACATGACTTCTCGCTAGCATCCTCCTTGCAACAGTTTAGCAGCGCGTTGTGATGGTAGAGAGAAAATGCAAGCACCTCCAGTCCCTGAATCTACCGGTACTTCAGATGATTTAGTGCCGAGTCCTAAGCGCCTTCAGTGGTAAAAAGATGTCAGCGGATACGTTTTTTTTTTAGTGCAGCGCTCAGAGCACTTCAAGTTGAAATCTGTTCAACTTTTAACACCGCTGGGCGCTTGGAAAATGAGTTTTTTAGCGCTCTCAGCTCCAATCACATTTTAAAGGATATCGACTGATTATCGTTATCGCCAAAATCTCAAAAAATACCTAGATATTATTTTTTGCCTATATCGCCCACCCCTACCGGGTACTACACTTTCTCACACACGCCGTCTTGCCCCAGCCCCGCCTCTTTCTGCTTCTCTCTCCATATACAGGCTGTATGTGTCTGCTTCAATCAAAGCAGTATCGAAGACTGAACAACCTTCTTGTGGAATAAAATAAATGAGTCAGCTGATCGGCCCTTCTGATCGGTGATTAGTAGTTTGCCAATCAAACTAATTAGAGCGGCGTGCCCGGATAGCTCAGTAGGTAGAGCTGGCGACCCGCATACCAAGGCTGAGTCCTTGCTGCAGCAGCCTAGGGTTCGAATCCGACTGTCTGTCTATCTTCAGCTGTCACTACAATAAAGGCAATAAAAGCCCAAAAAATATACTTTTAAAAAACTTAAATGATTCTAGCAAAATAAAGTGACTGCTGGCAAAACCACTGCTGAGAAATACGGACAGCTTCAGAACCTTCTTACCGAGCATTTTTCCGAGGAAGGCCGGTCTGGAGCTGGCCGGCAGGTGGATGCAAATGTAGTAGACCGGTGCACCAGACAACGCCACAGCAATTCCCACCAGAGAGTTCATGGTGTCACTGTAGAGGGGAACCACTACCAGGAATACGCTGCACACGCAGTAGACGATTGGGAAGAATAAAGACAGCTGCGGAGAGAGGAGGATGACACGGGCAAAGTAAGAAAAAAGTAGTAAAGAAGAATAGGGGTAGCAAAAGGTTAAAACTTCAAAACAGTTACATTAACAAATACAAATATTAGATTTAAACCATATCCCTGTTGATTTAATTGTTGCTCTAATGGCCCTTAAATTGCTCAGCTAGCAGTGCAGTCACTTTTATGGAAAGAGAATCAAATAAACAGTTATCAGATTCAAAACATCAAGGGCTTTTAAGATTGTCATAACTCATAACTAAAGCCATTGCTGAGGGTGCTCATGTCTACGATGGAGGCACTGTTGATGGGTAAACAAACATAAACACGGGTCCAAAATGCTTGAAAGAGAATAAAGCACCTTTTCTATCTGACCCTAGAGTAGAGATAACAGCTTTTTGTATCCATTTACTTTTTATGTTTACTGTTCAGAGTTTTCTGTTCAGTCAAAGCATCAAATGAGGGTTGTCATGGTCAATGATATGAGAAATCCACTGGACTTAATGGGGTATAAAGAGATGTCATGATACAACTAGGGGGGGGGAAAATTAATTAATTTTTGGGTTTTGAAAAATAAAAAAATAAAATTTTCCCTTAAAAGGAAAAATTCCAAAAAAAAAAAAATAAGTTTTTTTTTTTAATAAAAAATTTAAAAAAAAAAAAAAAAAACCTTTGGCCAAAGAGTTTCCCTGTTTACCCAACATACATCTCTGACTGGGTGAAGGCAAGGGGAAAGACACGGCTTTATTTCTTTCTTTGGGCAGAGTTGCAAGCAGGCAATGTCCTGAGAGTGCAACCCAGAGCCAGGTGATTAAAACTACCTCACAACCACAGTGTGACTTTTAAATAATAATTCTGTTTGCATTTGATATGATTCTTTGTGTGTGTGATTGTATTCAACTAGCCAATCATCCCACAGCTGTACCCTTCAGCAATTCAGGCTCAAGTTATCTTGCACTTAGTCGCCAGCCTGTTTTCTTGCAGCTGTGACAGACTGATGAGGAGAACAGTACAGATATAACAGAAAAAAATAACTCTTGCACAGTTACTACATCAATTATATACAAGTGGTTTGTAAAGGTAAAAATTAATAATACTTATAGCCTGGTTTAAGACACATATTGAACAAGTTCACAAGTGCACTTTTAGTGAACATTTATGAAGCTTTATATGTTTGTCACTGTGGTTATCTCATCTCAACTAAATTTCATGTCTCAGCATGTTTCATACGACTCTGGTCTATAGGGAAACTTGAGTGTGCCTGGAAGGCCGAGTCATGCAGCATCAATCTTTTACCTTAACAGGTCGGTGCATATCCGGAAATTTGACGCGAAGGTATATTTGGCTGGCTATTGACAGGCCGATGAACAACCAGTAGTTAAAACTAAAGTAGTTGATCAACTGGAAAACATCAGGCACAGACAGGTAGAATAGAGACATGGCACCCTGAAAAAGAGAAAACAAAAAACACAAAGAAACACTGAGTTTGGTTACATGTACGCATCAGGGACACAGGCAGCCAGAGGTGATCAGAGTATCCAAATACATAGTTTAATTTAAAAACCGTGATACTAACATTGAAAAGCAGGGCAGGAATTGGAGTAAAACGCTTAATGTGGATCATGCACAGGACATTAGGTAGGTGGCCTTCTCTGGAACCAACAAAAAATAACCTGCAGGAGAAGAAAAAAAAGAAATGGTGAAAAAGACTTTTAATTACTCAGTTCAGGCATCAATAGGATTTTGTAGGATAGTGAGGGAAATCTGCATTAAAGGAAAACATAGCTTTAGGTGTGCTCGTATCTACTGACCTTGAGGCAGCAATAATGGAGGAGTTGAGGCCTCCGTAGCAGGAAATGGCCACAGACAGAGGGATCAGCCATCGAGCCCAGCCCAGAACCTCATCTGCAAACGTCTAAGGAGACATTCAACAAAGTTCTTACTGTTCACATGAATCTAGTGGGAAGATCAGTGGCAGTCAACATTTAAACACAGAATTAGAGTGTCAGCAAATTACAGTAAAAACTACTGATTACACTATATTCTGATAATACACATTTAAATCTGTAAACCACAATTCAAATATTAGGTTTAGTAATAATGTGACTTAAAAGTGCACACTGATGTGTGCCAATAATTAAATTATATTTTAATTTATCGGACTAACTTACTAATCTCAATATGTAAACACTGACACGTTTCTTGCCATTTGCCTTGTGAGGTAATATTTCTGATTATAAAAGGTCAGGACAGTTCCTAAAAAAAAAAAAAAAAAAAAAAAAAATGACCAGCAGTTTTCTTCTGGCCACCTGTAACTTCTGCTTTTAATCTCCTACAGTCACAAATTAAGCCAATAAATAAAGTCAACTCAGAGACAAAAAAATACTATTCTAGGTCTGCACATATTAGAGTGCTTCCTTTGATGGAAGATCAGAAGGAAAGAAAAACAAGAAGAACAAGAAAAACCACAGTAGCTGCAAAATCTTGTACTGCTGCACCATTTGGGGCCTCTGTGTCTTTGGCAGAGAAAAAGTTAAGGAAGCTGTGAAGTGGATTTTACTTATAATTACTTAATCTCTCTAAGGCTGTCTATGCATGATAAAAGAGTCAGAGCTGGACTTGCCAAGTGGTGACTAGAAAGTCGGTGCCAAAAGGTCAACGCTGATATGTTATCATACAATTGAATTAAACAACTAAAAACTGATACACACTTACGTGCATGTTAGATTAATATCTAGTTAAAAGCTTCTCACTCAGGATTTGTAAATAAAAAGGTGTGTTTTACATATTTTATTCAGCAATTTAATTTTGATTATTTAATTAAATATCAAAGTTTGTGTTAGGTACTTCAGGTCTCTTTGTTGAAATGCCCTTTTAAAGAAAACAACACCCAGAATACCTATAACTATGAAGAAAATATGCAAATCACCATAAAATCTCACTGATTGACTTAAAACTAATCATGGTTAAATTCACCAAAGATAATAGGAGTGTTAAAATGTCTGCACAAAACAGGGTTTGAGTTCAACAACTGAATTTCCCCTCTAGGGATCAATAAAGGCCTATCTTATGTTCAAATATCATGAACTTTCAGAGCTGTGACGTCTAAGCAGTGTACAATGCTCAATAACACAAGGTTTGAAATCATCACGCTCTCCAAAATCTGACAAATCCAGTCATGGAAACATTAAAACTATTTGCTTTGTGTCTCTTGGCCTAAACTCAAGAGAGCACACAGCCCATGGCATGTTGGAACATTATTAAACCATTAGAATGAATGCTCTAATAAAAAAAAAAGATTATCAAATACCATTGTCAACAAGCCTGAGTACAACTCTTCCTCCTTCATTGCACTAATCACATCATCAGCTTCCACATGTTCCTGTGTTGGGCGCTAACCTCTTTAGCTAAATGAGGTTCCTGTCATCACGATTCCGACAGTCACAGATAACTAAAAGGGAATACCGAACCAGATACTAGTGCCAGTGGCTGCCAGCCAGGCTGAAAGATGACAGCAGAAGACAGGGAGGAAAGATCAAAACCTGCAGCCCCTATGAGGCTGAGCAGATGCTGTCAATTTGGATAAGTCCTGTGATGTCCTCATAGAGTTAACGGGTAGACATTAGTATACACAGTCAAGACTGCTCATATACAGCTTCTTTAGCGCACAAGGGGAAAGCGCTAACTTTGTGCAAAGGCCCACATTGATCTGCTCACCACAGCCACGGCGTCGCTGCTGAGTACTTTGTCTGCATCCATGACGACGTAGTAAGCTACATTGGTCAAGATGTAGATCACTGTGACAATGGGCATGGAAATACCGATGGACAAGGGCAGATTCCTACAATGGAAAATGAGAAAAGAGGAGTTCAACACAAACACAGAGTACTAATTAAGCTAGTCTATACTCTATACATTTTCACAGTTCATTTGTAGCTGTGATGCTTACGGTTTAAACTGGGTGAAATGAGGGATTGATGACTTATGACTCATAAGTAACATTAGTTTTAAGTCAGATTTATGAAATACTAGATTTAGAGATTTTAGATATGTAAAGGTATGTAGTTAAGCAAAGCAATGCCGTCAGGAATGAAAATCGCTTATTGTATAAGTTCTTTCTGAAACACCAGACCTCATACCTCTCTGGGTTTTTTATCTCCTCTGTGATGAAGTTGAGTGTGTCCCAGCCAGAATAGGAATAGAGTGCTGAATAGAGGGCCAGGGCCATATTACCAGGGTCCACCTTAGAGCCTTTAAATGAGTCCTCAAAGTTCTGGTCAAAACCTACAACAACACAGGGTTGTTTCATGAATCCAGTACATAAGAGGTATTTCATTGTTTTGCTTTCATCATCCAAGGCTAATTCTTTTCTTTCTAACCAGTTTAGTGACAGAAAAGGAAGAAAATACAATCCATAAAATGTATAAATACAGTAATAACTAATCCATGTAATATGGGTAGTGTTTTGAACGAGCAGGTCCAACATCAAACAACAATTCTTATTGTCAGGTGACTATAATCCCACCAATTTAAAGAAATATACCTATGAAGGTTATATTCTATTTCTGCCTATAGATCCCCCTAAGTGTCACACACTGCACCTCTAAATGATTAAATGAAACTGATTTAATCCTAAAGTCATCTATCTGCTTCATTCTGTTGATTTTCACTGGTATTACTATGTTTGACTGACAGACAGACTGGACATCCTACCTTGTGCAAGCTTAACCAGGCCAGCAATGATGATGACAATAAGGGCCAGGACCTTGGCTACAGTAGAGATGACCTGAAGAATAGCGCCCCATTTCACTTTCATACAGTTCACACAAGTCAGCAGACCTGATACAGAAAGACAGAAAGAGTAAGAAAACAGTGGTTAATCTGTAAACATCTGTTTTGCACTGTTTACATTTGGTAAGAGCACAAACTCCACTAATCTAAGGTGGTGTATCTGGGTCTTTAAGAACTGACAAGGATTCCCACCTTCAAGCTAGCTAGCAGATTGTTATGTTGGTATGTTGACACCATTACTGAGTTAGTGTCTCCAGCTCATATCTACAGAACAGGTTTAGGCTTGAACATCTGTATTTACATTGCTGTTCATAAATGATCTCGTAGCATCACAAGGAGGGTTAAGGTTGCCATTTCCTAAGTACAGCAGACTTAAGGTGGAGTTAAGAGGACATCAACAAGTATAAAGTGTAGTTACAGACATATCCCTGTAAGTGCAACGGAAACAAAGACTTAATCAAGCAGCTTTTGGAAAAGTTCCCGTGGTTAACCACAAAGAAGTGTGTCATTTAATTAAATGGTGCATGCACGGTTTAACACATACCTGTAGTGCTGCTTACAATAAACCATTATATCAATAGGCAGTTTAAAAATGGTGTTTGCCAAAAATATATATGCGACTCATCACCTTTCAGCTATTGTGACAGCTTCTCCTACACTCTTCAAACATTCAACAGGCTGCAATTGACTTCATAGTTGCATGGAAGGTTAATGTGAACTAACAGCTAGGAGGAAACTGTCATTGTAAACCCAACAGTGCACAAGTGTTGGGTGCAAAACAAAAAGTTATGTAATAACCTACAGTGTATACATCTTAAAGCACCAGCTGTACTGGACTTTTGACAGCCAACAATGCAATTAAGCAAGCAGGCTGATTAGGACATTTATGGTAAATGATTGAGGTTAAATAACCAGAAGTCATCTCTTTTGTTCTTTCGTCAGGATACTCAAGTGGTCCAAAATGCTCTACTACATTCTGTTTAAACAATAGTTTTCTTATGCACCATGTTGCAAGTGGACCGCAGAGTAGCATTCCCAAATAAACATGAGCCAACAGTTTCAATCAATGATACCCACACTGAGTTTAGTACAGGGAGAGCCTTACATATGATGACAGCAGCGATGAGGCGGACGGCGTCATAAGGGGATGAACAGGTGGGGTAGAAGGGCTGGACCAGGTAGTTGGAGAAGGTCAGAGCAATCACTGCCTGACAAGCTGGCTCAACTATCAACAGAGACGTCCACAATCTACAGCAGATTTGATAAATCTTAATCATTATAAAAAGGAATAAATACAAACATCTTTTTTTTGTTCAACTTGAAAACGTGAAACAATGAATAATATCTTTATATACACATCACTGGGAATATGACTTTTCCCAATTTTAATCGCAGTACTGTACATACTTTAATAACGACCATCTCTGATGTTAGTGAAATACCTCCAGTCTTCAAAAAGTGATCAGACATACAGTAGAAAGGATAACAGTGTAGTGAATTTCCTACTTTGTTTAATCCCCAGTGAACCCTGTACTCCATATACCTTTTATATAAGCAAATGGTCTTGAAAGAAAGTACATGCTGTCAAAGTATTGAGTTTGAGTTATGTGTGGTTCCTGGATGTGTTAAAAGAATGCGTATAGAGAAAAAAAAACAAGTAAAACAACAACAACATACCGAATAAAAGCCAAGAATCCTCCAAAGGCCTCCAGGATGTAGGCGTAGGAGGCTCCAGATTTACGGATTGTGGTACCCAGTTCAGCATAGCACAACGCTCCAAACACAGAAAATACCCCTCCAATGGCCCACACTACCAGGGACAGGCCAAATGAGCCTGTGTACTTAAGAACCCCCTGCAGGATAACACACGAGAGAAGAGAATTAGGTTTGATGCGATTAAAAATAACCATGCGTTTGCGTGTTTGTGTCAGTTTCGTTAGGATGGTGTAAAAGCTATCACTTGATCTCCGGTGCAGACCAAACAATGGCAGCACGAACAGCAGTCTCACACAATGACAATAGGACAATCTGAAAATACAGAGTAGGTGATTGCGCAATCCTAGTGTGAACACTAAAAGGGATGACAAAAAAAAAAAAAAAAAAAAAAAAAAAACACACAATAAATACAGATTTGATCATGTTTAACTAACATTTTACATTTGACAATCAAAACCAAAAAGGCCTAACAAAGTACAGACTCTTACCTTGGGTGAGACAAATATTCCAGAGCCTATCATATTTCCCACGATGAGACAGACCCCATGGAGGAGGGAAATCTCCTGCTTCAGCCGCACACCACTGCCCTGAGACACCGAGTCTACCTCAGCAACCATTGTGAGCAATTTACAGCCTTCAGCCTCAACTCAGAGGAGCTAACAGGGGAGTGACAGTGAGTGAAAAAGAGGACAGACCAGGCAGCCAGGGAAACCGAGAAGGGGTGAAAGAATAGAACCGCAAAATGAAAAGAGGGGTGTGGACAAAGACAAGAGAGAGGGAGGTGGGAGTGTCACTGGAAGGCTATGTTGGTCTCAAACAGCCATTGCTGAATCTGAGGAGCAATCTCCACTGGGATAATCTGTAGGAAAAACAAGGCAACACAGCGTCAGAGAAGTGATCTAGTAGTAGTAGTTCTGGTGAGAGGAGATGAGTCAATGATCCTGATCAGTATACACATATATACACACACGTGTACAAGTGTATACACACACACACACGTATACACACACACACACACACACACACACACACGTATACACACGTATACACACACACACACGTATACACACGTACACACACACACACACACGTATACACACACACACACACACACGTATACACACACACACACACACACACACACACACACACGTATACCCACACACACACGTATACACACACACACACACACGTATACACACACACACACACACGTATACACACACACACACACACACACACACACACACGTACACACACACACACACACGTATACACACACACACACACACACAATGTGGTATCTCCAAATGAGTAAATGACTGAATGGATTCAATTAATGTCCTTCTAGATTTATGGAGGTACTTTGTATGAAAGAAGCAGTTAAGTACGGGACAAAGTTAATTTAAAACTCATGTTGTCTCATGTCAGGCCAAACCAAATGTCCCGCCTCCTCTACCCTGATGGTTGAGTTCATGAGGAGCGGCATTCACAAGGCGCCACTGCCCTGTTCCACAGACTCAATTTAATCACAACTAACCAAACTTGTATTGGAATTAGCTAGTACGTTAGTTGTTACAGTATAGTTGACTGTCGGTTTAACTCTTGACAATATGACTGAAGATATATTTCTTTAATAGTGTAACAGTTATAGCAATGAGACGTATCATCTCTCCCCGGCCCGTTATTTGGAAAAACTATGTTTTACAATCATTTGCAGCAGCATATGATGTTATCCATTGCTAAATTATAGACTTTAGCTAACCACAAAGCTAGCTAATGCCATGGCTATCAGTGAAAGACCGCTAACATTAATGAGGTTGGAAACCACAACGAACTTATTCTGCCTAAATAATGATTACTGTATTTATAACTAGCATATCTGTAGTTACCAGTGACGTGCGGTGAGGTTCATTGCTGGTGAGGCACTGACTTCTTCAGAATCAGATTTACAAATATATGAACCCAACAGAGTAGATTATTCACCATTTGATCGGCAGCGGTTAACGGGTTATGTTTCATATCTCATATCAGCATTACACATACAACCTGTAGCCCACGTGACGCACATTTCATTTTGTGACCTGTTGTGAGGGATTGCGCCATCCAAATCCAAATTCCCGTATCTGAACCGGAAATGCGGAAGTTCAGCGATTTTTAATAAAAAAACAATGAAAATTGTTTGAGGTAAATGGAAAATTTGTTTATAGTTCAAACCATTTGATAAATATAACCATTTAATTTATTTGTTTATTTTATTTTTTCCATGATGACAGGTGAGGCACTGCCTCCCCTAACTGCACGTCACTGGTAGTTACAGTCCATGCATTGTCAAACGTAAGATAGGCATGCGAGGAGTGAACATTTAGACAGAAAAAGTATCAAACAGCTTGTGCATAAAAGTTAGCTTTTCTTTTTACACGTGTGTGAAATCCAATGACGCAAGTGTGCATTGCTGACTGTCGTTCAGCCGCAGCATTAACGAGTCACATAATGGATTTAGTTCATCACTAAGTAGTAGATTTTAGAAGGCAGGCAGCAAACGATGATTGAAAATTGTTTGTTGTAGCTTGATGGATAGAATTAAAAGAGTGCAGGTAAAGGGATAAGCAAGTTAACATTGTAATTATAAAAGGGAGCTCAATAGGGACTAACTATTACACACACAAAAAAACATTAGGAGTGACCTCTGTCTTGTTTAATAATAATACAGATGATGATGATAATGATAATAATAATAATATCATCCGCATTGATTTTTTTAATTATTACTGTCAATAATAATAATAATAATAATAATAATAATAGTAGTAATAGTTGTGGCTGTAGCAGCAATAATTTTTTTTAAATTTGTTTTTAAATGTATCGGCCAATATATTGGATTTTTAAATCACCAAATATTTGTATCAGTATCGGCCTTAAAAATCCTTTATCAGTCGGGCTCTACTGGAAACAATGCAAATCATTTCTCAGAGTATTACTGATTAGAGCTACACTATTATTTTTAATAAGTTTGAATAGTTGCACCACTGACACTGTGGAGTGCCCTGTGCATTAAATCCAGTGCTTACAATTCACTGGTAGACTGAACAGCCACAGACATCGGTGCACGTTGTAACCCTCTGTCAGCTTTCCAAACAAATAAATTCTTTCTGATTGCAAAGTTCACTTTGTCCTCCATTTATAATAGAGTAATATGATTGTGAAAGGATCAAACACCATCCAGCAGTTCCATAAGTGTTAGATTAGGATTGTTAAAAGACTACATTGGCACTTACTGACATACAGAGGGGAGATTTGATTGGAAATACTTTTAATTTATTTTCTGAATTATGGGCTGTATCTCTGCAGACTGCGGTCACAGAACTGGCATTTTACAGGCACATTGGACAGTGCTCGAAGTAAGAGGGAAAAAGCAATCTCATTAAAGAATATAATGCAATTTTCTTCCAAGAGTCAAATAACCAACACAAGCCAGCACAATTATGTATAAACCAGCATTTCCCTACCTACGTCCAACTATCCTGAGCCCGGTGACTACTTCTCGTGTCTTCACACATATGTGTTCCTTATCAAGCACTAATCTATACAAAACTCATTGTAATCTACTTGAGTAATCTGCCAGTGGCAGTTCTGCCATAACCAGTTTGTCACTCATCCATTTTCACTCACTCTTACTAGACAGGTCAAAATCCAAGCCTTAAAAGTATACAGTCATCTGTAGGGTCAAAACATAATGTTTGAACCAGCAAAGGCAGGGAGGGGCAGATACTGTGCATTTAATTCTACACAGTATGTAGAAATCAAACATTTTGCACTAAAACGTCAAGAAATTGGACTTAAATCAATGAACAACACTACTAAATACCGATACACATAGGATGTCGACTGAAAAATGGGTTTCAGGGTTTAGTAACTCTTTGGGTAAGACAATTCGTACCCAAGTTACTTTGTGTAAGAACAGGCGTTCAGGGCGCAGAGGGAATAAAAGACTCCATCACTTCCTATTAGTCAGTGTACCTTCAAAATGAATGAAAGTTGTTCTTATAAAAAGGTAGAATATTTCCATAATGTTGAATTAAAGAGCATCCCCAGCCATATTTTAAAATAAAATAATACTAAAATGAAGTCAGTAAGCACAATCTTCATTTAAGCATCGCAGTTTGTAAAAAAAAAAAAAAAAAAGGAGAACTTCGTGGCTCAAGTGCGCTGAGCCAGAGCTGCTGTGAGCCAAACTTACCCGCAAAACTATCATTTAAACCGAAATATTAACTTCTTTGCCAGTGACTAGAAAACCCCCAGTAGCAATGGGTCTGTGCAGCACAAGCGCCATGTGTCACATTACTTAACCAATGAAATTACAGAGGATCTGGTTTGTGTGCTTGAGCCAATATGGCTGCTTCAGTGAAGTTCCCCTGTTTACAAGCTCACCAGACATCATCTTATTCTACATCACAGTTTTCTGTTTGCATAACGACCCTGTGTCCATAGTGTAAATCATGTGGATGAGTTCAGTAAACTATTACCAAGTTATCAAACTTTACTGTAAACCCTGCAGCTAAATAACACGTAAAGAAAATCACTTCTTCCCACATGTCAGAGCCAAGTTTCCACTTTAAAAAAATACCTTAAACACAAACTGCGACCAGAGCTAGGACTGTAAATTATAATTTAACACTAATTAATCCATCTTATCATTCACAATAACCTAAACACCCGCTCCTGTTGGTGCGCTCCAGCACAACAAAGTCATCGCTCGCTGTTAATGATTAGCACCAGATGGGTTGATAACCTCGTTAAAACCGGACTGATCACACACACACACACATATATATATATATATATATATATATATATATATATATATATATATAAATAAAAGAGTGAAGGATCAATTAACCGTGTTTCATTAGACCGACGTTAATTCACTAAAGCTAACGCTGCTATCTTTCTAATCAGTATCCATCTTAAACATGTGCGGCGGCTTTCTGATGTGGCATACAACCTAACTTAGCTAACAGAGCTAGCTCAGTCAGTCACACACACACACACACACACACACACACACACACACACACACACACACACACACACACATAAATGATGCTGTTGACATTTAGGCTAACATAAATGTAGCGGTAGCCACGGTTCTTTAGAGTGGAAACGCTTCGACTAAAATGTCCTTTAACGGCTCAGGTCCGACTTTTAAAAGCGGGAGACAACGCGTTAGTATCCCGACAATAAAATAATTAAGAGATAAATTAATTACCTGCTGTTTCGTCGCAGCACACGTGCTTGTGTTTCAGATTGCGTGAGACCAACTTCAGCGAGTGAACATCTGCCTGTAAGCTAGTTCCTCCTCCTCCTCCTCCTCATCATCATCATCATCAACTGCCGGGAGGGATGGTTGGCACCACCTCCTCCAGACAGGCTGACAGATCATTAAAACACCAGTATAAAAAAATACCACAATATTTACCAAATACAATCTCTAATCGATGACAGAAAACCACCTATAAACAGACAGTTATCACGCACTAACTAACATTAATGACATTTTACCAGCGGGTCGGCGCATTGATCTACATTTGAGCAGCGATGCGGTCACACAGGTGTGCCACTGTGACTTGGCAACGGTTAATATAGCAACAGCGCTCTGCACATATAGTTCCCCTTAAAACACGCATTATGTTAAAAGACGGTTATATTGTGTGTAGTGTGTATGTATATTTGAAACTTGAATGATGTCTCCAAACTCATAGCTGCAGAAATACTACAAACTAAAACCTTTGCTCCGGTTAATCAGTGACTGTTCATAAGGTCATAACCTATACTCCTGGCATCTGTGTGTCGTTTTAAATAAACAGCAGCAACGTAACAGCTTTGTTATCGATGCAAATATGCTTTTTGATAAGGAACTTGCGGTTTCTGTCGGCAACTGTATGTAACTGCGCTTTGTGTTGCCTGTAAGAGTTGGACCTCATGCATAGATTCATGTTATTAAAACTAAATAAATAAAAAACAGCCCGATAACTGAAACCACAAAAAAACAAACAAAACATAAGCTATAAATTAAAGTGGACGTGTGTCTGAATGAAACTGGTTGGACTGGTCCAGTACTGCAGCCGATGTGTTGTAAAATAGTTTCCCTCAAGCGGTGCCTTTCTCAAGCTCATGAAGCTAACTTTAGATTTGCTGCCACCTAGCGATGATTGTTTAAATGATTCCACCCATTTATTTGCTGTGCTATGATTTGAGCATCGGTATTTTCTGCATTTACAAAGAGGCAATAACTGGGTGTTATGTAGTGTACACGGATTATAGGATCTGAGTGCCATCAAATAGGCTATATGAAAACTGGGCAAATGTCTGTAATTCTTCGGCTTTACTCACCCCCACAAAGCCTTGAAATTAACTATCTCAAACCTAAATGTTTTGAAAATGTAAAGTGTGCTAAATTTAGATAATATAATTTTCATTCTTCCTTTTTTTTTCCAGCCCCAAGGACAGTTCAGTACCTGCTCATCAGCACAGAAACAAAGAGGGAAACACCCATACTGCTGAGGGCCTGAACTCTACAATACAAGGGGACATTGGATTTGTCAGGCCTTTGGTTAGGAGAGGCGCGTCAAGGGAGTATGGTAGCACATAAACGCTCATTACCGAGCCAGTGTCAAGCCAATCAGATTGTATATTAAGACTTCCTCTCGTTCATTTCAAAATAAAGCCCTTTTAAAAATCTGGTGCATCTTGTAATGTAATGTGTGGATGTGGGCACAGTTTGTTGGATGGCTTTTTTCCTCCCTAATACAACAAAACCAACAAGAACTCTGCCAGGAGGTCGCGTATAAGGATGCCCAGTTGGCTACAGTATTAAAACTAAATTAACCTACTTTAAAGTTGCACATTTTAAGGGATAAAAATTAGAAGAATAAAACAAATTCCAGTCAGTTAGGAGAAATATTTGATTAAGATGGGTACCTCCTCAACATAACCCAACCCAAATTTTCTTTCTCCCTCTGGTGAAATACGGTAGAAACAAAAAGTTCTAAATTGTACTGTATATTTCCCAGAATACTCCTTTGTACGGAAGCCGAGAACGGCCATGGATTTTTCTTTTTTTTATGCACTGTTATATCGTGATAACGACTTATTATCTCGGTATCTCGATATAACAAAGATTGTTTTCTTGTTATAACAAATTAATTTATTTCGTTATCTCGATATAACAAAGATCGCTTTCTCGTGATAACCAATTAATTAATAATGTGTTCGTCTTGATTTCAACTTACAAGAGCTGCCACGAACGGCTTCCGTAGCCACTGGCTGTAGCTGCAGCCTACCGGTAAGTTACACTTTATGTTAGTTTGTTTACTTGACTGGAAGCCGTTCGTGGCAGCTCTTGTAGGTTGAAATCAAGACGAACACATTATTAATTAATTCATTATCACGAGAAAACAAACTTTCGTTATCACGATATAACAGTGCATAAAAAATAAAAAAAATCCATGGCCGTTCTCAGCTTCCGTACCTTTGCAACATATTAGGGTTGCGAACATTATTTTCAGTATCAATGAAATCTGCCCATTATTTTCTCGATTAATCGTCTGGTCAATAAAATGTCAGAAAACAGTGAACAATATCTGTTATAATGTCTCACAGCTCAAAGTATAGAGCTTGTTTCATTTGACCAAATGTCCAAAGATTCTCAGTCTAGTATCATATATGACCTAAAAAAACACATCCTAATATTTGAGAAGCTGAAAACATGGAATTGGTTTGGCATTTTTTGCTTGAAAAATTATTAAAACAATGAATCCATTAAAAAAATAGTTGCTCGATCGATTGGTCGACTAATTTCAGCTTTACATCATCAGAGTGGGTAATGATCCCATGTGCACTATCCCTGCTTAATCTGCACATGTAATTTAAATGTTATATAGCATTTAATCTGCACATAATCCTGCACATGAAACTATCCCTTTCTTGCATTGATGTTTTTATTATGGTTTACTGTATGTTATATATTGAAGGAACCATGTTTGTGTTCTGTACTTGTGTAGCTTTCTTTTTATTTTTTTTACTTTGTTTGTTCCCCGTGACTGCACGTCAAGTTTCCCCATTCGTGATAATAAAGATAGCTGAACTGTAACGTTTATACATTTTATTCTGAAGGCTGAGTCTGCACACTTCCGGCTGTGTTCTAGTTATTTCCCACTGACTTGACGCAGCTCATAACAGACCACCAGGCGCACCGGCAGCCACCTTCTCTGCTGACTCAGTTGTGCCTTACCAGCAGTCCCTTCACCCCGAGATACAGCATCCAGCAACCGACGCACACTCCTCCGGTCAACCCGCCCCGACACCACCGTACAGAAATGGCTAAGACCGCAATCGGTGAGTTTTTTTTGCACTTAATCCTTTATTTTTTAATTTTTTCTTTCTTAGATATCAGCAGTCTTCGCAGGTTTGAGGGATGCTGAGAGGCTGTGGCGACACCCATGGCACAAAAGGATGCTGAGGGTTGATGGGAGGGAGCGGCCAAACTCCTCTGCAAGTCTATAAAATTAAGTTGTGCGATTGAAGCAACATTTCCATGTTCTTCAACCTTTATATCATCTAATAAAAGTCATTTGTAGGTTTTTGTTTGATCCTAAATCCAAATTAGTGCCGATCAGTGTGAGCCAGTTTTATGGATTCAGTTTGCCATATCAGTGACGCATATATATATTTTTTTAATTCAATTTAAATCCAGATAATTAAAGAGAATGAATCCATATCGACACAAGAGAGTTGATTTTTAATTGTTTCTCCTCACACAGCAGCATTTTAGTCGATGCCTGCCTGCCGCACCTGCCCCTTATTGCCTGACTCAGAGCCGTGCAGCATAATGCAGCGCCAGCGACCCCACCCAACATCCCCGGTCCCTTCAAAGCGCGCCAGCCCACTCTCCGGGGTGTGCAATATTTTCACCGTGACAAATGTCCTTATGAAAACTGGGCCATCTTATGTAGCTGTTAGTGTAAAGCCTGCTGAACCTATTCTGTGGGTGACCGCTAAAGGCATGAATGAGAGAAGAGAGAGCGAGAGATGGAGGAGAGAGAGAGAGAGAGAGAAACAGAGGGTGGAGAGAAAAGAGCATCCCTTTTTTTTTCTTCCAGAATTGCTTTGCAGTCGAGGAGAAGAATTTACGACTGGCGATGAAAATTAATGTCGTCTCAGGAAGATCAGACTCCAATCCTATTAAGAAGGCTATAGACATTGTAAATGTGACCTATTATGTTCGATAACTGTATTATTATCAGGCCACATTTGTATAATGTGACAGTATTTGGTAGGAATATGTGGAGAAATAAAACGAGATTGCATGCTATGGCAAGTGGTAGGCCCTTGTATTTGTGTCAACCTTTAAGGCTTGATATATTTATTATATTTAATCATTTGAACATAGCACTTTGTGAGCTGTGTCAGGCCCATAAACACTGGTTGTGACCTGCAGAAAGAAGCCTGTCGAACATTAAGGAGAGTGCTTTAAGGGGTGTGTATGTAAAGTGCAATGTGTGTGTGTGTGTGTGTGTGTGTGTGTGGCCAGTCTAGGGGATAGTCTGTTTGTTTTATGGTTGACTAGGCACTTGATGGATGGAGGGGCATGCAGACAGACAGCGGTAAGGGTCCTGGTGTCTTGCGCAAAGGGATGCCGGCAACTAAACCCTGACTGTTATATTTATTCCCCTCTCCTCCTCCTCCTCCTCCTCCGCCTCCTCTTCTTTCCTCCATGATTTGAGCTGTGGACAGGCAGAATGGGATGGGCAGGGAGCAGACACTCTAGGAGAAAAGCAGTCATCATGCCAGTCAGCACCCAGCAGGGTCGTTGAGTTCATCTTGGCTGTTATTATTTAAGGCGTGTATTTTAAGGCGGGGTAAATACCCCAGAAAATATGTAAATTTGTTGTTTTTTAATTCTTCGGAGGAGAGCTGAGGATAGAGACACCCTAAAGCCTCTGCATTATAAGATGCATCAAATCTACCGCCAACAAACTCGTGCTCAGAACCACTCCCGTGTGCATTAAGGCTCCCAAGCACTTTTCCTGATCCTTATCATGCACACTTGTCATATCCAATTAGGTGTGGTCATTCAGCCGCTTCCCTAAAATCAATTCCTTTGTGTACAGAAACAGAAGCTTCTCAGGCAAGTAAACTAGTCGTGTCCACGCACATATTCCTCATCTTATCATCTGCATCGCTATTGTGGTAATGTGCATAAAGCTCCACAGTCTCCTGGACCCATAATTCATCCTGATTTATCACGAGTCCCATCGATCAATGCAGCACACTCCCATTACTGGTTCAGATGACTGCTGCTCTTTAAGGAAGAGGTGACATCAATCCAGCAGTGATGGTACGCTGTAGGCTCATGATCTGTTCATCACTTGTGATCATCAACATCTGGCTAGGAGAGTTTTGTGTCCTGGCTTGGCAAATGTCATGTTATCCTCAGGTTATACGAACAATAGACTCAAATCAAACTCAATTTGTGACACAGTATCCTTCTGCAGTTTTGGTGCACTGATCTGGAGCTTAGACATTTAATAGGTGGCTATTTTGTTCAATTATTTAAATCATTTTTCAAGCAAAAATGCCTAAAAAAAATCTGTTTCAGCTTCTCAATTGTGAAGATTTGCTACTTTTCTTGGGTTTATGTGATAATTAACTGAACATCTTTGGGGTTTTAGACTGATAGAACAAGACATTTCAAGACACCACAGCATGGGCTTTAGGACACTGAGATGGGCATTTCTGCAATTATCTGACTTTTTATAAACCGACACATTTATTGATTTATTGAAAATGATCTTCAGTTGCAGCCCTGCACTGATCTCCTTGGCCGGACACAGGGTGCGGTTTAGCCCATCCCTCCTACATCAAATGACTGGACCTGCCCATGATCATCTGGGGGCCATAATGTTTGGTTTTAATAGCCAATTCTGCTGTAGGAACACCGTCATAATTTTGTGATTATATTGTTGCTGGGTGGCCTGTAAAGGGCCTGTATGTGCTGAACACCGATGCCAAACCCATTCTGCTGCTGGGTTATGGCAGCCAGGAGGGCAGAAAACTCTGGGTCACATTTTGATTTCATTTTTGATTTCTTAATAGGCAGTTTGCTCATACCCTCGTCAACAGTTTCAAAAAGCAAATAGGCATAAAGTCTATTGCCAATTGTTCATTCTCTGTTTAAATTCTCATAGTTGGGATTTGGGCCTTTAAAAGAAGAAGAAAACAGGGAGGAGGAGGAGGAGGAGGAGGAGGAGGGAAATATAGTACCAAACAGAGGTGTGGTAGTGGTGGCAGAAGATAGGATTGAGAGGGAGAATACATCAGCAACAGATGAAATGGAGGATTGGGGATGCAGAAGGTGCTGGTGGAGAGGAATGCTTGCGGGGGAGGAGGTACAGTAGATATTGATGATCTGTGCTCTGGCTGATGGATTGAAAGAGGAAGTGCAGTTTGCTGGCTGTGTGTCTGTGGTCGGGACAGGAGGAGCAGCTCTCTGAGAGGATGCAGAGCTGACTGGTTGAAACCAGCCTGCTGGAGTGGAGTGGGAGCAGTGTCTGACTCGTCTCTGTCTGAAATTATTTGGTCTCATTTCAGACTGACAGACAGAACCTGAACCAGCATGCCTGAAACTCAGCCAGTATGTGGTAGTGTTAGGACACTTCCTGCTGTGGAATGCCATTCTGGATCATTTGTCATTTTTATGTGCCTGATCCACTGGGAGTGAGCTTATTACTACAGTGGTTACAGAAGGAGAAGATCTTTTCTCTCAGGGGAAATACAGCAGCAATTTCATATTTTTGCACAATAGAGAATCTCATATATTTTTGATTAGGGCCATAAAAGAAAAATCTCCACAGCCCTGAGTTAGAGAGCTGTTTCAATTTCCAGCGAGCGCTTATCTTCCAAGATAACAAAGACCTGAAACTTATACTGATACAGTCAAAGTGAAAAACAAGCTTACTCACCTCAAATAAAACTGGAATAGAGCTGCAAGGATTAGTCATATTTTAAGCATAAATGCAAAACATTTGAGGGTCCCTGCTCCTTAAATATGATATGTAAAATGCTACTTTTATCAGTTTTTTATCCTTGTAAATTGAATATCTTTTTGGTTGTTGACTGTGAAACTGTGAGGGGGGATTTTAAAGTTTTTTTTTATGTTTTACAGACACTTCAAGAAAATAATCAGATGAATAGATTATAAAAACAATTTTAATTTGCTGCCCTAAACTAGTCTAGATCGAGATAAACTGTTTGAAAACATTTTTGAACACAAGAAAAGGCCCCACCCGGAACTTGGCAACCACCAAACAGGAATCTCTGCTGATCTGCTCCATAAGCACTTAACCCAAATTACCTGCTCCGCTGAAGTGTTAACTGTTCGAGTCTTCAGCTGTCAAGTGGGTTTGTGTGTGGGAGAAAATGGCTGCTGGGGTCTTGACATAGACACAGCACTTAATGAGCCAGTGACAACCCTCCAAAAGCCCTGTACCCCCTCTCTTGTCAGCAGAAATGGTGCGGTCCACTAATTATAAATTAAAGCACTATCCACCTGAGGTGGCTGCTTCCATTAGCTGTCCTGGGGGCAGTTGATGGCGGCTATAAGTCCCAATGGGAGCTGCCCTCTTTTAATCCTCCAGTCTGTCTGCTTATATCAGAAAGGTGTTACCATGACTGTAAAGCCATACCCTGATATTTTATCCATCTTACCCCATCCGTTTTTCCTTTTCATCTGTAAAAAATGTTCACTCTTTTCTGTTCCTCTACCAACTCCACCTTTATCCCCATTCCCACTCCACCCTCTCTCCTTTCTTCCAGCATTTCTCAGTTTTTTGCACACCCTACCATGCTCCCACCTTCTCTCACCTCCTCCTCAGGGAAGGGGTTAACAAGGCCATCAGAGAGTAGTGAGAGCTACATCTGAGAGTTGATCACATTACTGTGGCGTCTGCCAGTCTGCAGGGCAGAAAGCGAAATACAGAGAGAAGAAGGGGAGAGAGTGAGCAGGGAATATGAGTAAGGAGGAGGATTTGGATTAATCATGCTGTACACCGTACCCCACCATGGAGAAGCTCTTTCACAGTAAATCTCATTTCTGGCTTTGCTACTGTAGCCTGCTGCAAATCATGAATCAACGTGGCACACTTCAGCCCTGTAGGCCTTGTGCTCTGGGTGATGGATTATGCTATAGTATGACAGTTGGCATGCAAATCTCCACTACGAGGCAGTGTACGTTGACAGAACACCGCAGCCATGTGCAAAAGAAGAATATTTCCCAACCTGCAGTGTGTTGCAGATATTTCTGCCGTTCTCCCTGCAGGGACTGCTGCTGAACTCTGGGCTCACATTACAAAGTAGTAGGTGCCAAAAGCACAGGAGTAAAAAAGAAATCAAGGTTAGACAAGGTTGGTTGTTCTTTTCTTTTCTGTTTTTTCACTGTCTGGCCTTTGGGGCACTTTGTTCCTCCCTATTGAGTAGGGCGCAGGTTGCTAAATATAGGCAGTATGATTTGATGTGAGCTTTGTTTCAGTGTTATTAACTTTTTGGACTTTAAATGGACCAGGGGTGGGCAGTCATATTGCTGTGTTATGCTGATAAGCTAAACCCTCGGCTGTTAGCCTCTATCCATAAGCCACAGTCAGAGAAGATAAGAATCAACCAAGAGATTATCCAAATATCTTTTGTAAATCCTGGTTTCTTTGCTTTCAAAATTACCTGTTTTTTTGGTGCTAGCCACAAAACAGCTGAGAGGCAATAGGGCGTTGGTCTGGCTATGTTAATAAATAATAGACCAAAATGAAATGCATAGCTAATGATGTGTGGAGAATCCTGTGGGGACGGCAGCATCTTGGCTGTTGGGGAAATTAGGCCAAGTAAGGACACATCCAGCCTGCTCCCCTCCCGGCTCAGAGAAAACAAAGGCCAAAAAATGCCTACAAAACCCAGAGCAGTTCAGCTCCACAAGATTTCCTTTGATGGGGTTTCTTTTTGGAAGATCTGATGAATAATTATTCTTCTAAAAATCTGGATATTTACATCAAGGCCCTCCTGTGGTGGTAGAAATGGGTTAATGATGTTTCATCTTTCTGTATGTTAGTAGGTTAATGATATTTTGTCTAGTATGTGCATGTGTGAGTTTATATACAGCTGTACGTGTAACACAGTCATGTTTCCTCCACAGCTTACAAAGAGAAGATGAAGGAGATCTCAGTTCTCTCACTCATCTGCTCCTGTCTGTATCCCGAGACCCGCAAAAACATCATGGGTGACTTTGAAGGTACGTGATACTAAGACTCAAGACTTCAATTTGTATCTTTTTTATCAAACATACTTGAATAGTCACACAGAGACAACAAAGTCTTTTTCTGTCCATCTGTCTGTCTTTCTTTCATGTTAACACACATACATGCAGACATGGACATCAAGCCTATTAACAAGCGAGCCTCAGGCCAGGCTTTTGAGGTCATCCTGAAGCCGTCCTCCCCTGTGTCTGATGTTGCCCACTGCGTCACCACCCCCCCAAAAAGAGACCTTTCCCTGGAGGACATCCAGAAGAAACTGGAGGCGGCTGAGGACCGGAGGAGAGTAAGGATATTTCCAATCATTTTCATTGCAACCAGCTGCCATGTATCACTTTGCTTTACTACGTGCCAAGAGTCACAAAGCTGTAATAAAGCCTGTTGTGATACCAAAACTAAGCCATTTACAATTTCTACTTGACTTCCCTTGGCGTCTAATTTGACGTCTGGTTGTTTAGTTAATTGTGCGTCACATTGACTACTGCAGCTGCACAACTGCCATGAAAAATCTAATCTGACATTGGCTAATTCCTGCATCTCATTGATTCCAGTGTCAATAGAGTCAGGCAAGCAGCTAACAAATCCAGCAACCCACCAACAAATCAATAACACTGTTTGACAGATTGTTTTTAACACCAGATGTCCAATTCCGTAGGTCAAACATACATCGCACATGTCAGGAGAAGGGTGGAAAGGAGAGAAATGCTCTACAGCCTTATTAATACTTAACATAATGCGTGAGTCTGATTAGTTGCAACAACTCTGACTCATTCTTAATTTTTAACAAAAATCAATGGGTGGTGTTCAGTAAATCAGTGCATCGCTGTCGACCCTTGCTCACTGACTCATTCTCTCCTCTTTCCATTGCTCTTCCTCCTCCAGTCCCAGGAGGCGCAGGTACTCCTGGCCCTGGCTGAGAAGCGGGAGCATGAGCGCGAAGTCCTGCTGAAGGCCATGGAGGAGAACAGCAACTTCAGCCGCATGGCCGAGGAGAAGCTCCAGATGAAGATGGAGCAAAATGAGGAGAATCGGATGGCTTACCTGGCCGCCATGATGGAGCGCCTGCAAGAAAGGGTGAGGAGCATAGGTGTAGCTGTGATTTTATATATACTGAGGTCATTGATCCAGGTTCAGTCAAGAACTGGAAAATAAATTGATCTAAAATTATTCTATTTGGATTTTTATTTTACTTTAACTCAGTGGCCAGATATTGCTTATCTGGACATGTATACATAATTGATCAAATAACCAGGTAGAATTAGGCTAAGTGCTGACTTGATCTGGGCCAGACTGATATCTAGTTGGAGACAACAGCCATCTTTACCGCTATAGTCTTTGACTGTACTCCAGCAGCCTCCCACTCAAACTGGCTATCCACCAGTAGTAACTGAAACCAGCATCATTTAGCTATTTACCACAATGATTATGAATATTCATGTATCTTAATGTGCCTCGGATCTCAGTGTGAAAGCTTTGGATATTGTTATTGTTTCTAGTTTCTTCATAATTTAATGACAAAAGCTATGTCCCTTATTTTGAAATTTACCCTTTCCATTCAGTTTTTTCTATTCGATACTTCATAATTCACATGAGGACATGACCTCAGTATCCTTATTGGTAGATACAGTACAATCCTGGATATGATTGCAACAGCTAAATTAATACTGACTCTGTTGCACCATTAAAGACTTTTTTAATGTGCAAACTGATCTGATCAATCTTTAGTGGCGTCCAATCAAGCAATCAAGTATTTAAACAGGAAGACACTGAAGCATCAGATGCAACATGCTATTCTACTAACTATGACTGTTTTATGTATGGATGTCTTTCACAGTTAGTAGTATTCATGCAGGTTAGAATGAGTTGGAAATATCCGATTATGCTAACGTAACTGATGTTATTTAGTAAGTCATTTAGTCTTATGTTTTGTCATTATATAATGTTATTTGTAAAACTATGATTTAGAGGGCTTGCAGTTTACATCATTAGTGTCAGATCAGATATATCAGCCCTATTCCATTAGCCACCTCTTTTACTCTTCACTCTGAACGGGTCATATAATAGCAAGCTAACATTAGCTTTTAGTGATCCGTAATTCTCCACTCGGCACACACTTCTGCTTTTTAGTCTGAACTAAAGCAGTCCTGGTGCAGCTGACTCCAGAAGAGGAGGGTGGGACAGGAGAATGATAAAAAAAAGGGGGAAAAGAAGGAACTGCAGGTGAAGACAAGAGGAGGAAAGGGTTAGGAAAGGCTCTTTCACCTGCTTGACCCTTCAGGAGAAGATGTGGAAAAATAGAAAGCATAGACGGGTTTGACAGAGACAAAGGTACAGTCTTGTGCATGGAAAGTGGGAGCTAAAGAATTATTATGTGAGTTGGAGAGAGGAGGACATGAGGCAGAACGGGGAAACGAAGTCAGCTGTCACCGCAAAGGGCAAAGAAGAGAAATGGCGAAGTGAAACAAATGTCAAGAAAAACACGATATCCTCAAGCTGTGTTTGTGTTTTCTCTAGGAGAGGCATGCTCAGGAGGTGCGCAGGAACAAGGAGTTGAGAGAAGAAGTGACAGCGTGAGAAGCCCCAACAGGTTCTACGTCCTACCCCCAAACCCCCCCAACCCGCCACCACCCCCGAACCTGAGGAACACCCCTCCCCCCACCTTATCCCACATGTCCCCATCCCTCCACCCCCTCGCCATATTCCCCCATACTACTATGAAACTACCACAACCTGAGACACCACCCCGAGACAGTGGGAGGTTCAAATGGGGTTGGGGGTGGACAAAAAAAAAGCAAAAATAATTCCAAAAAAGAAAAATTAATGTCTCCCACCCACTCTTCCCAAAAAAGAATGTTTTTGCTCTGTTTCAAATGAGAAAAAAAGGAAAAAAAATCAAATTGACAAGCGACAGTGGTTGGTTTTTGTAAATACTTCTTTTTTTGTTATATACAGTACGATACAAGCAGCAAAAGTATTGATTGCAGTGTGCCATTTTTCTATATAAGTTTCCTCTCCTTGCATATATATGGATGTAATGATTTGTTAATTTTCATGTTTGTTCATTTCAGCCTGAGAATCATTTCAGGCGTAGGTGTTTGTTGTGAGTTTGCCAGCTAGCTGATGTTTGCTGTGACTGGCTGCGTCCTCATAAGGCTTGCATCCTGGCTCCGTTCCCTCATCCCTTCAAGTGGGCACTTACTCATTTGACCCTGCGGATCTGGAAACAAAATTGGATCCGTGTTTGGTCGGAGTGATTTTCCATCCAGTTTATGCCAATGTTCCAATTAGCAAGGGACATGTGCAGGAAAGTTGGCACAAGGAAAGGGGACAGTTTGCTTTCTGTGGGGACTGCAAGCCATCGCTGCACATACACTCCTGTGAGGTAGATGGTGACTGTACCACAGGAGAACACTATAGCATTTAATGAGCCCATCCCCATCCTCCTTCCCTCCGTCTGCAACCTCTCCATCTCTCCACATACATACATACCGTAGAAGCACTCACTCACACGCTCTCCACATGGGCAGGCATTTAGCCAATCATAGCACAGAGCTCAGCGGGAGCTCGCTAAATTCTGTCCATCTGGCACCAGAAAGCTCACATAACATCCCTTACCAATGGCGGGCCTCTTATATTCCTCAGAAACAAGCTTCCAGACACATTTCTAATCATGTTTTACTGTAATATACAAGACAACTGAGATTAAAGTGCATCTGAAGAATGATGGAGGGCAAAAAAACTTCACCTGAGATCAGACTGTGAATCTTACACTGGAGAAAATACAAATAAATGCCACCGTTCTCCATTTCATAGAGGCTAGAGTAGTGCTCAACATCATCAGCACCTACTGGAATCATTGCACTTCACTCCAAGACACTGTAAATGCCACTGAAAGGTTGGCACAAGAAAGATATTGAAGCCATAACAGGTATCGCTGCAACAATGATTCATGAACACAGTATTGCCATCTGTAAAGGTGTATATGAGTGTATTAAAGTATCCAAATAGTTTGTTTACCAGGGGTGTTGAAGCCTGAGGTTGAACCCTGTCGCTCACACACGCACGGTATTGGCCCATAGATGTGTGTGAGTGTGTGTGTGTATTTCAGAAAGGACGGGTAGATAAGCGAATGTTTGTGCCATGTGAAATTGACCCGGTGAAGTATAAACCAACACCACTACAGTGTGTAACAGCTGTCACAAGTACATCACAGACAGTGACTATCCTACCTGCCTCTCTCGCTCTCTCTTTCTCTCCTCTGTCCATCTGTGTGTTTCCCCCTCTCCACATATATCTTTGTGAGCAAGCAGTGGTTAATAAAGATTTGGGGTTCAGTGAATAAAACTGACTTTGAGAGTGACTTCTTTCAGACACTGCCATCAGGCATGTTTCCAGTAGAGCGTTCAGGTAGTGCCATTTGATTTCCTTAACAATCTAAAACAATATATCAGATTGACAGTTGTTTTCATTGTAGATTAACTATATTATATTTACCATTAATCATTTATTCATTTGGTTTGTAAGAGTCTATAAAATCCGAAAACAATAGAAAATGCCCATCCTAATTTTCCAAGGGTCAATGTCACACTTAATAATAATCACATCTTAAGCAATTCATATTTATTTGCAAGGCTGCAATCCACTCAGCTTTACCAGCTCCATTGCCAATGCTGTCCCACTGATATGGCTTACTGACCCACTTAAATGGAAGCCATAGTTAATGGTATCAATTACGCTTCCTGTGCTTTCCTAGAATGACAAGTTGAGATTCGTGCGGTGAAAAACCCATTCATTGTGATCACAAACTGAAAAAAGGGATGTGAAAATAGTCACACTTAAGAAGCTCTAACTAGTGAGTTTTTTGATAAATGTCTGACACAATTAACCAAATATCAAAATTGCTGTTGATTGATTTTTTTGTAAATCAAGTAATCCACCGATCAACTAGTCATTTCAGCATCAAATATTGAACCTGAAATATTGATTAATCATTTAATAGGAAATGTGTGAGAACTTATTCGTTAGAAGACTTTTTTTTATCAACAAGGTTGCATATTTATATATCCAGTCCTTTACCAGTAGTAGAGCAAAACTAAATACATTTACTACTTGTACATTATATACTTTCCATTAGATTTTTTTATACATCTACTCCACAACATTTTTCACTTCACTACAGCTAGTCACTGTAAAACATTGTAAGTTGGTTTAACGTAGAAACATAAGCACCCCCTGCTCTCTTAAAGGTCCAGTGTGCAACATTTAGGAGGATCTATTGGCAGAAATGGAATATAATATTCATAGGTATGTTTTCATTAGTGTATAAACACCTGAATATAGGAATTGTGTTGTCTTTACCTTAGAATGAGACATTTTTATCTACAGATGCCGCAGGTTTCCTTCCATGGAGTCCGCCATGTTGAACTGCCATGTTTCTACAGTAGCCCAGAACAGACAATCCAAACACTGGCTGTAGATAGAGCCTTTTGCGTTTTTTGTGAGTTTTGCAGCCAGCATAGTTTTACACCGTGATCTCATTTCCAGGTCGTGAAATACAAACACCAGTGGTGTTTTAGCTGCAATCTGCAACTTGACCACTAGATGCCACTAAATCCTACACAGTGGTCCTTTAAAACTGTGAGCTCACAGTTTCAGTCACACTAATGGACATACATTTGCATTTTCACAGTTTGAAGAGTAAGTATAAATATATATTATATACATAGAAGTGAATGTTAATCTCAAAAGATTAGCTGACGCCACTAAACTGTGTGTGTGTAGTTACTGGTTACTTAACAGATTCAAATATTACATACAAAACATATCAGTATATAAAATATGTTATTTAACAGCAAGACAAAGTAGCTCCACCTTGATTAATAATATACAAAGTAGCTCCACCTTGATTAATAATATACACTTTCAACGGTTTAAAGGTGTCGTTCTGCATTCAAGTAAGTGACATTTTGTATGTGGGACTTTTACTTGTAGTAGAATATCAGTATTTCTTCCACCACTGTCCTTGTTCTTGTTCTATGGTCTCAGTTGATGAAATATAATTTATGACCAGCTGGGGGAGACAAAAGACAAGTTGTCTCCACTAAAAATCTCATTGACCTTGTGGATTTGGCTGCAGTGAAGCTTACATCATTACCTGGCTCTGCATCATCCTCAGTAATAAAGGAAAAAGGTTTAGGAGAATGACGATGGACATTAAAGGGGGGGGGGATATTTTAAGAAATAGATGAAAGAGTCAAGGGATATTTTGGTGAGTAAGTAAACTTTTGGATCAGAAGAGGAGGGGACGGTATGTGGAGCAGAGAACAGAAGGTGCAGCTGGTGCGAGCTGAAACGGTGGCAAAGGGACAAAACTGTTCTCTCTGCACACTTCCTTTCTCACAGTTTTTCAGTCCCTCTCTCCTGCTCTCTCCTTTGATGCCACTGTCCCGTTTCTTTCTACCCTCTTTCCCCCTATACCCTACTCTATGCTGCATCCCTCCTTCCTTTCCTTCTTCATCCTCTTCCAACCTTCCCTCCCTCCTCCTTTCCTCCTCCTCTAGTTCCCACGCAGCACATGGGGCCAGCCGGGCTGCTATTGTCCAGGATATCCCCTCCTTGTTAATGGCTTCCTGTGCACACACAGAGGGCTGCTGAGAGAAACAGGCAGCCTCATCTGATACCAGGCGTCGCCACGTACTGCGAGCGTGCCACACACACACACACACACACACACACACACACACACACACAAACATCTCGAGGCATCAATGAGCAAACACACAAACCATACATGCACACAGAAACACATTAATACCCACACAATCTCAAACACGCTTGAACAAACAGACATGCAAATGCACACTCACACACATAAAAAGACGCCGATAAAGCCACAGGTGATTTATCTGAACTCATTTATTACAGGGAAGTTGTCATTACCACCAGCAATGACTTTGAAAAGCTGAGAAATCTGATTTGTCTGTGCTTGCTTGTGCTTTGTACAACCATAAAATATACAAACTCACAGTGAGGTTTACCAGGAGACACCAAAATATCAGGTGCAAAGCAGAAGTTGGTCTTTCTAAAGGAAAAACAACTGAATTGTGTTGCCTTGTTTTACTGCAACTGCAGTGACGGATACAAATACACTGACTCGATAAAATGCTGCTACTTTGAACAGGAACAAACAAGGTAATAAAAAAAGCATCAGTTACATGAGGAATGAAAAAAATGTGTAAAAGCTGGTAGAAAACTGGTAAAACATATGTGCAGCCTCAACTGTTAAGGACAAGATTTACTGTAGAGAGGAAACATAACTTGAGGAAGCAAGTTTAAACAATGGAGCGCCATATGAACATCGGAGATCGTGGGTAAATCATGGTTAAGTTTATTTCAACCAAGCTGGTAGATAACTTCTGTTCCCAGTATTTAGTCAAACAAACACCTGGTTTCGGTTATTCCACCCCATAAAATGCCGTAAAAAGGGGGTGACTCCCAACCACCTCAGTCCCTCCTTTCACACCCCCTCCTCTCTGTATTTAACCAGGGCACCAACACTGGGTGTTTCAGCTCAGAGGGAAAACAAAGGGGGGGGGCAATTTCGCCCAGGAACTTGACGGGCGGCGACTGCTTGACCATCTGGAAAAGCCATTCCTGATAGGCTGACAACAGCGGGTGAAACTTCTAAAGGGGTAGGCAGGAACAGAGATCAATCACAATAAATCACTCTTGCTGCTTTTTAGTCATCGTCTCCCTCCTCACTGTTTTTTTTTCTTCTATACAAAACACAATACATTAGCAAGAAAATAAAACTCCTATAGCTAGGTGTATCCTCTGTGGGATGTCAACATCATAGAAAAAATAGTACTTTCTTAGTTGGGAAAATAAAAAGTCCTTGTCCTTGAAAGTCCAGCTCAGCTGGGTAGTGAGTCTACATTGTGTAGGTTTTCACTTCAGTCAGAAAGCTCCTATCTCCATACCCCAGGGTCTGTAGGGTTTGCCCACACTGGATGTTGGTGCTGGGGCGCTGATGGTGGTGGTGGGGGAGATGAGGGGGAAGGCGCTGAAGGGGAAGGGGAACGCAGAGAGGGAGGAGAGGAGAGGAGGGGAGAGCTTGGACGCTGATGAGGAGACCAAGGCGTGGTGGACGGTGGTAGGAGCGGCAGTGGTGGGGGGAACCCGGATCGGGACTTGATCTGAGTGAGGGGTGACGCTGCCGCTGCGCCTGCCTGGGACGTGAGTCTCTGCAGCCGACGAGGATGATGAAGAAGAGGAGGAGGAAGAGGCGGATGAAGTGGATGTAGACGACAGGGGAGTTTGTGGGCTGCTGGTGGCGCTGCGGGGTAAAGGTGCCAGTGGTTGGTGCTGTTGGTGCTGGAGGAGGAGGGGGTGGGTCAGGTGGGCAGGAGGGGATCCAAACGCAGAGCCCCACGCCAGGTGACTCAGGCCAGAGTGAGCCTCCCTTTGACTGGCGTAGTTGTTTAGGTGGGAGACCAGACGGAGCCGCAGAGGGTCTGTGCTGTCCAAGCCTTCGATTATGCTCAGATAGCGGGCCGTCTCAGCCAGGCACTCCCTGAAACCCAGACCACGGTAGTCCATCGCCAGGGCATGGGCGTCAAAATAACCTGAAGGAGACGGCAGAAGACAGAAGATTAGTAAAAAAAACAGTCACTTGAACTGCACACCACAAAACAAGTTAGTCCAGAATTGAAGGAGCTCTGTCTGACATGAATCAATATGCCCCTGGCTTTGGGCCTGTGAAAGAGTAAATAATCAGACGCATATGATTGCCAAACCAGTCAAACTAGTTTATAAATGTATAATCTAGATATTTCTTTTTCATTTATTTATTTATTCTTTTGAAGAATGAGAACCAACTGGTCACAAAAGTATCCACTGTCCAGTTTTTTGCTCTAAGCACATGACTCTTCAACGAGTGAAAAAGTGTTTTTCTTCAACCATTAAATGCTCCCAGTCGTACCTTTGCCTCCAGCAGCATGAAGCATCTTCAGATGGTCAACAGTCATTTGCAAAATCTCTGCTTTCTCCAGTTTGGCTGAGCCCTTCAGTGTGGGGGGAGGCAGAAAAGGAACCATTTAGACATAGAGAGCATAAACGAACAAAGTGGGTTTTCATATTGCTGTATAGACCCTGAAGTGAAGTTAAAAGTCGTGCTGCCTGTTGCTCACCTGTTTCTCAAAGGCGCTGGGAACCAGCCTGCGCAGCTCGCTGAGGCTGTTGTTGATTCTGTCACGGCGCCGTTTCTCAATAATCTGAGCGAAGACACAACACATATTATCTGGTTATTATCAGAACATGCGCACATGAACACAAACCGCGGATATCACACACGAGGTCTACAATTGCACAGTTTAAATATAACTTTACTTACTCCTCGACGCCTTTTTCTCGCCTGCACCTGAGTTGAGGTTGTGGGAGACATGGACCCGAGAGGAGAGCTCATGTTCCTTAAAAGAGATGAAACAAGGGAGGCTCAGTCAATATCCCGTTGACTATTTCGATATGATTAATACATACTGAAGCTAGTGTTACAGCCGTTTGGTCCGCTGATCTGAATCCCTTTTAAAAGAGGAATAAGAGAAAATATAAGATTCAGGGCCAAATAACTTACCCATTCTCGTCCGCGCTCTCCTTCTCCACCTCAATAGTCTCATCCAGCTCGCTGTCCGAGGAGCTAAAATCGTGATTCCTTTTCATTTTTAAATTGGTTCACAATAGTCCTTCAATGCGCTTGTTGTGTCTGCGTCTGACGTGCGTCTGTCCAGGTTTGCCCGGAGCGCCTCCGTTTGAAGCACTCAGCTTTCCCACGGTGTCATTTCAACTCTGGAGCCGGCCAACAGGGGCGGGGCCTCGGGCCGAGCCAGCCAATCACAAACCGGTAGTGGGTTTGAGTGACAGCGCAGTTGGCCCAAACACATCTTAGTGCGCTTCGGCAAGTCAGAGAGGAGAAAAGAAGTCAAGACATCTCACTCTGAGGATATTACTGGAAGTAGTGGAAGAGATTTTAAAGTGTACCTGTTAATGAGATCTGACCTTTCAGAGCACTTCACATCCAGGGTGGGTTATAGGGTCAGGAACATCGTTGTGTAACTCTGTCTGCCCCAGAACTGTCTCTGAATGGAGTTTGTAATGAGATTGTTTCGCTGCTTCCTCCAAGGTCAAGAATAAACTTGAAAAACTGACTTCTTTAAGTCATGCTAATGGATTTTTGCACTGATCATCTTTGTAGTCTCGCTATTATTTCCAGTTTGTTGGAATACTTAATTTTTTCTGTATATGTAACCTGCCAAGAGACACAAAGAAGATGTATGCATAATGACATGCTGTGTTGTTTTTTTAGAAGTAGACATACCGAGCAGGTACAGGCTACCTGCTCATATCCTATAGATATCTTCATTGGCCAAAGTCAACATATATTTGTAGTCTATATCCCAAAAAATTACACATCACATTTTTCCCTGAAAGGGCTCAAACATCGTCAAAGCTGTGGATTAAAAGTGACCACCACACACTGAACTGTACAGTGACTTCATTAGGAATGAACAATGTGTGTCACCTGTAGCTTCTTCATGTCAGCGTGAGATGTTCCTGCGACCGTCCTGCACCAGAACCTGACTGCTGTTACTATCTGTACATGGGGAGATCTGTTCATGGTCAACGGTGTGTTTATGTCTTTTTTTTAAATCCTAAGCTTTTGGTTATTTTCCTGTTCTTGTAAACTTGGACTTGCTCTCCTGCTGATAAAGTTGAATCTCACTGGGGTTTTTGTGACACTAAGACACTGGAGTGATTCATCTTATGAAACATAGAGGATCTTTGGAGAAACTTTGACAGTGGTCCAATGGACTTTCGGTCCGTGACTATCCTCCCCCCACCCTCCCCTTCCACCTCCACAACCTTCCCCCACCCCCTCCCCCTCCTCCCCCGTGTGTGTCCCGGTGGTGATGAGGAGTGGCTGGCCGGCTGTCAGCACGCGCTGGCCGTGGGAAAGTTCCCTAACCGGCGCTGATAACCAATCAGAGGCCGACGGCCGTCTCCGGCGCTGGAATGAATGGAGCAATTGGTCGGGGCGACGGGCGGTCTGCGAGCGAGCGTGTGAACCTGTAATCCAATACTAACTCAGCCCGGGAGGAGAGACAGGGAGCACTGCCGCAACCAGAGGAAGCCACCAAGTCTAATCTTACCCCACAGAGAGACCTCATGCACGGTAAAGACGCTGTGGGGACTTGAAGGACTTTTGTGAGCGCACTCAACAAAAGAGCATAATGCAATCAAAGCCGAGTTTCCACATCATCACCACCACAAGACTGGTGGCTCCTATAATGGTCACACTCCCCAAATAATTTGACAGAGCTGCCGGTGTGTGTTTGTATACATGGAGGGCTCATGTTACTGCATGTGGAGCTGGAGCTCTTCAGTGGAGGGCCTCCTGCGGGGATTCAGACTGGACTGTGGCATATTTAAATCATCATTCATTAATACAAAATATTATTATACATGATAGGCTATTACATAACTCAAAATCAATTGTACAGTGACATATAAAAGCACTTCGTTTCTTAAAAGGACCTTGTAATGTTGTTACAAAGTTTGTTCATCATCATTATGATGATGATGATGATGATGATGATGATGATTATCATTATTATTATAATATATATGTTTGCAGTGATAATCAACATGATTATAGTTATGCAGAGTCCTATTAACTATAGGCCTTTAAATCAGGTATTTTATTAATTTTTAAAGAAATATTTTAACATCTGGGGAAACACTTGTTTGCTTTCTAGTGAACAGATGAGAAGATACCTTTCAGTAAAAATGAAGTAGTGGGTTAGACTGTGAGATTACAACAGTCAGCGTTTAAAGGAATAGTTTGACATTTTATTAAATGTCCTTATTCGCTTTCTTGCTGAGAGTTTGAAGTTTGATGCCGCTCTCATGACTGTACATTAAGCATCAAGCTACAGCCAGCAGCTCGTTAGCTTAGCTTAGCATTAAGACTGGAAACAGGGGGAGACAGCTAGCCTGGCTCCATCCAACAGTTACAAAATATGTCTGCCATATTTAAAGCCCACTAATTACCATGTTTTTCATCCAACTCTCCTCCAGAAAGAATAAAAGCGTTTTTTCCAAAATCCTCGAACTATAATTTTAAGTTGGTGCAGATTCATTTTACAATGCTCCCCAGATCTGTTATCTATATTATATGAGGGCTATATTTATCACAACTTTACCTCAATTAAAAACAATGACATTATCCCGTATGGTAATAATATATTGTAACATCCATTAAAAAGTAGTAGTAAAAGTATTTTATGTCTGTTTATGTAAGAAATAGAAGAAAGACATGTATATATTCATCAATTTAAAACTTTAACAATGCATTATTTTAAAAGCACAAAACTGAATTTGACATTTAATAAAAAAACAAACATAGATAGATAGATACTTTATTTATCCCAACATCAGCTTGTTAACATTGTTCACCATCCACACTCATTCTGAGATTTCAACAATCCCCAACTGTCTGAAAAGAAAATGTTTCAAAATGTCAGTGAAAGTCCCCTTTTTTTTTTAAAGATAATGCCTCTTGTAAAATGTCCCCTCCAGCAAAAAAACTGAGAGTTTATACAGACATTTCCACTGTTTGAACAAAACCATGATTCATCTGACATGAAAACAATATTGTAAAATGAATTAGATACACCACCATTCATTCTCTGAAGCAATGTACTGTTACTTTGCTAATAAAGATCAACACTAAATTATTACACACACACACACACACACACACACACACACACACAGTAGTATGGTGATCCTTATCAGTGGGAAGCAACCAGAGGCGTAATAGTCATCACAGAGAGAGAAGGCTGCCTTGTTTGGTTTATATGAATGAGAGGAAGCACTTAGGGCTGTTTTCATCTTATTGTTGTCCAAGGCTACGCTTGCAGCAGGACAGACACACATTCGTCAAACTGATTATTGGTGAGCTCTATTTGTGTGTGTGTGTGTATGCTTGTGTGTGTGTGCTGGATAGTGGGAGTGTGGGAGTTGCATTCACATGTGTCTGAGTTCATGCAACCTGAAGCCTTTGTCACAATAAACACAGGTGTGCATCCACATTAGTTGCTGACAGTTTGTGTGTGTGTGTGTGTGTGTGTGTGTGTGTGTGTGTGTGTGTGTGTGTGTGTGTGTGTAACTAGGGGGAGTGTGGGGGAGTGGGGGAGGGGGGAGGTGGGGGTGAGCCCTCTTGTTGTATTTCAAGTTCACCCAGAGTTCCCACGCTGTTATTTTCTGCACGGCTGTCTTTGTTCTACCGGTCTCATCACATGTTGTGATTAGTAGGGCCTTTCAGGGGCCGCCCTTTGAAGGTGAGGGCCCGCAACACGAAATCATCAAATCCCCTCCTCCTCCTCCTCCTCCTCCTCCTCCTCCTCCTCCTCCTCCTCCTCCTCCCCTCTTCTCCCGCTGCAAATCAGGCCACCAAAACGACTCAAACTCAGAAGCCAAAATAATCAGGGTTACAGTGACGGTTCACCTCCATTGCTCTCTCCACTCTGTTATTCATTTCTCTCTTTTCTTTCATGTCTAATTTCCTGTTTTCACATATTTTCCTCTGTCTTGTTTTCTTGAATCGTGTCCTCGCTCTCAATCAGGGTTTTGCTATGAGATTGAACCCCCAAACCCTCTCTTTAGCTGCCAGACACTGAATATTGATACACATGGTTTAGGGTCAGTTCAAAGGGGAGACATTATGACATTTATGTAGACATTAAATGAAGGTTTGTCAGAAATTGATATGTTTCCTCGTCCTCTGCCCACTCGGACTCAACAATAGAAAAAGGGTTTTGAATTTCAGTTTATTAGTCAGTAATAACATGTCATCAGTCCGGACATAAATTGAGTCTAAACTCCTTACCAGAAGGAAATGAATTGGTTAAAGGAATTATGTGTACACACTCATGCTTGAAGTAATTTTAAATGTGGACTCAATAAATTCACTTCAGTGCTGCACACAGTCCATATTATTTTTGCATATTTACACAATGGTCCACATGTCATCAGGTGTTTAGTTGTATGAGTTTGTTTAGATCCAATTTCCTGAAAAGAGCCTATGTGGATCTACGCGAGTGTAAATTAAGCTAGCCTGCAGTGTTGACGGAGTGACTTTGATGAACGATGTTGATATCACGTTCAGGAACTCTCTGTTAATCGTTAACCTAACAAAGTCACGCTAAACTGCTAACTGCTTCAAATGTTCTTGGTGGTGTCTGACTCATGTTGGCTGATTTCCAACATTTATCAAACATTTATCGATACAAGTGAACATTTACATTCGTTGTTGGTTCACATTTCGTGTCAGCTATCTGCAGACACAAAAAAACACAAAGAATATCACTCATTGTTAAGGTTAATTATATGTATGAAAGCTTCTGGGTCAAAATGAGGGTAAACTGTAATTCCAGTACAAAGGAAATAAATCTGGTCACGTCTTGAGAAATAAACAGGACCGTACAACATGTGAACCAGCTCTGAATAATAATACTGAGGGAAATCAGCACAAAGTATCAGTTAAACCTGCTCACCACTTCCTCTTTGGTCAGATGAATCAGATCCTGACTGACATTAAAGGATAAAACTGATGTTTTTTTAGGCTTGTAATCTGCCACTAAACTAGCCCATAAAGCCCCAAATCACAAATTTGCCTCAGGGATTTACAATCCATACAACGTATGTTCAAACCTTAATTTATAAATACTAATTCACAGTAAAATACAGTTTTTGTTTTCTGATCTGATGGAAAATGTGACAATAACATAAATGTTCATTTTAAAAGGACTGGAGGAATGTGAAATAGACATTTTCCATAGAAACATTTCAGTAGATAAACACAGATACAGTGTACCAGACATCAAATACAATAGGGCAAGTTTCCCAAACCCCTCCAGAAATGTTTGAACGTATAAATTAATACTCTGCTTTGAATAATAATCTACATCTAAAAAGGTTTTTGCAAAATTTTCAAAAAACTTTCTTAAAAGCATATTTAATCTCTCATTTAAAAACAAGGAATGTAATTGTTTTCCATTTCAAAAGTTTAACTACTAACTTATATTATATTTATATAATATAATACTTATATAATATTTTACCAGTGTCTGCTGGAGGTTTTGAAGTTTCTACGTCACTCTTGTGAAGTGTGCATATTGGGCAATGATTGACATCCATTTGTGATGTCATAAGATTATACCCAGATTCAAGGTGAACGTGAAAACATCCTTCTAGGGTCAAACTCTGCACAGTGAAGCTCAAACGTCTAAGGGAAGGAATATTCAGAAAAATACATTTTTGAGTGGAGTTTGGCTTTAAATATTATTCTTTAACATGCCTATCTTTGGTTTTGATAAAAACCAAATACTCAGACACTGAGAGCGGCGTCTGCAGGTTAGCCACAGACAGATGTTCATCCGCGCAAAACAATGCGGCGAGCCTCTCTCTGGTGAAACCCTGCGGAGGGCGAGCCTTGTTATTGTTTATAAATAGAGCTATGTGGAGCACTGAGGAAGGCCAACTTTGTTTCCCCTGACAGGGAGAGGAAGCGATGGCTAATTCTGCTCCAGACGTGTGTGACACCCGACCATTGTGCCTTAGAGAGAGAGAGAGAGAGAGAGAGAGAGAGAGAGAGAGAGAGAGAGAGAGAGAGAGGAGTTGAGGGAGAGAGAAAGAAAGAGAGAGACATTGTTTATGAATGTGAGTGTCTTTAGGAGGGTGGGCTGTTTGTGAGGCAGGGGTGAGGGTTGTGTGTTTGTGTGTGTGTGTGAGAGAGACACCCTAGTATTGTCCTTTAGGAGGGTGGGGGTTTGAACGTGGTTTCATTGTTTGCCTGTGTCTATCACTGACAGTTCCCCTGTGAGTTTTGTTAACGGGGTCCACTCCCTCACACTGGTTCATTTCTGTGTGTGTGTGTGTGTGTGTGTGTGTGTGTGTGTGTGTGTGTGTGTGTGTGTGTGTGTGTGTGTGTGTGTGTGTGTGTGTGTGTGTGTGTGTGTGTGTGTGTGTGTGTGTGTATTGAGGAAGTGAAGGACGTGTCAAAGTTGACCCGCTGACACTCATCTCTGTCTTGTCTCCCCATGGGAAGTGTTCAAGGGCCTCCCTCTGTTTCTCTGTCACACACACAGAAACATGCAGGGAGAGAGGGAGAAACTGAGTCTGTCTCGATGACACAAGAAGATGATTGCAGAAATACTTATTTTTCTCATTTTGTGCTCTCAATTATCATTATTCTACAATAATCCTATTTTACTCAAGTATATTTCTTAGCAGTTCTTAAAATCTATTTCAAAGTCCAGATTATGATTCTTGAAACTAGGATTATATATTATTTTCTCTAATTCCCCAAACTTTACTCAAAGTTTGGTTTCTGTTAAACTTGAATTGTTTAGCTGGCAATCATCACTAATTGCTTTGTAAAGCAACTCGTGGTGCAACGTGGAGGAATTCCTCTGCAACACCAAATACATTTTGGTGTTGTAATGTCAACTGTATTATTATTATTTTTTTTTACATAATGAGGAAATGTTGAACCTATCTGCCAAGTAGTGAAATGCTCTTACATAATATAATAAAGAACCTGCAAACAGTTAGATAAACTAGAATGTAAAGAGAGAGGAGAGGATCATGGATAAATTCAGATGTAAAGGAAAGGGTTGGCATTACTCTGGACTGTAAACACATTACATAAAAATACCATCACTGAAAAGACCAAATCCAGTCCAAAACCAAAAATGTGTTACACTATTTTGTTTCTTATATTTTTTGACAACAAAGGCACATACGAATAAGCTACACCAGGCTTTAGTTACACCAACTGTTACAGATCAATTATCTGTTAGGTTCATTCTTCTTGTCATGGCAAAAATAAAGAATATTTCCAGTCATATCCTTTAAAACAGAATCTTTTCAAAAAATACTCTACATATGAAGTATGCAGATAGAGTTTAGCCCAACAGCACCAGGGTAAAAGCTGTTCTTGGATGTGAGGGCTGGGAGGCACCTGTAGCATTTCCCAGACAGCAGAGTTGATGGACATATGTTCCAGGGATCATGGCTGAGATTTCTTTTGGCTACAGGAAACTCAGACGACCCGACACACCCCCTTCATCTGCAAGTCTCTGATCTTCTAAATGGTCTGCTAATCCTCAGTCTGGTACATTTGATATCTAAATTCAACAGGTGGATGGGAGGCAGAACTCGGTATCTGACTCCCTTTTGTTGCAGCCAGAAGTACCTGCTGGTGAATATTCACAGGATGTCATAATCAGCACCGTCTGACTTTAACCTGGAGGTAGAGTGGGAAGCGGAGCGACTGGTTTTGTGGGGGTTTGGGTGTGACTCATGTCTGGATTCGGGGAAACTCCTGGTGGGTGGTCACTGTGCGGAGAGAGTGACAAAAAGTCATAGAGAACAAAGGCAGATATTTGACTTTCATCTCAGCTTAAGGTAATTATTCGCTTTGAGGTTGACCCAGTCACACTTTTAAACTGGCCTTGTGCCCCTGGCAAACAGTTGATTTTGTTCTGTTTTGACATTTTATATAATGAAGAGTATATAGAACAAGAGTGGCAGCCAGGAGAAACTGCTGGCATGCGACAGAAGTCACGAGTAGCGTAAGAAGTTCATGGTTTATGCCTGAAGACGGACTCAGACTGCCTTAAATTTGATCCTTTGATACGGCTGCAGTGTGATCTCTGGGCCTGACATGAAGGTATGCCGAAATGTGAGGCGAAAAACAACATTGGCTTCATGCATTTGTCAAATGTGCACACGCACGCCACACACACACACACACACACACACACACACACACACACACACACACACACACACACTCCTATTGCACACAAACTTCTAATCACTCATCTTTACTCACTAATTCGATAACGAGCCCGAACAGTTGAAACATGTTTTAACGTTTGACATTTGGCCTTTAGAAAAAAAGAAAGAGAGGCTAAAATATACCTCCCTTCAGTATCTTTGCAGTCTTGGGAGAGAGCAGTTCCCCCCCGACTCCTCACCCCTCCCACTCTCTCCTGCTGCAGCGAGGGGTTGCTGGTCCTCTGACCTCAGTAATGATGGAGGGTCAGGAGTCAGGTTGTGTGAAGGAACCGTCTACGTCTGCAGAGCGCGTGAGGAGCGCCTGGGAACCAGAGCTCGCCGTGTGATCCCGTGAAATTGATCCCTCCAGAGGGGACCAGTGGTGTGTATTTATTTTTATGTGTGGTGGCTGTGTTTGTGTGCATGTGTGTGTGTATGAGGGGAGCGACCGCGACAGGAGACACACCAGCGGAAATCGTAGATCCCAGTGGTTGGCCTGTCGTGCCGTGACCAGGGTGCCCTGTCTGCCTGCCTGTCTGCAGTAGGAATGACAGGAGACGGTGAAGGAAAAGCTTCGGCTGAGACGACTTTACGCTTCACTGTCTCGCCTGAAATAGAGAAAGAAGCTGATTAAAGCCCCCAAAATGTCTCACAAGCCCATCAATCTCAAACAGCCAACAGATAAAGAAAGGAATTATGGGAAATATGTTTATTTACTTTCTTGCCAAGAGTTAGATGAGGAGATCGATACTACTCTTGTGTTTGGATGGTAAACATGTAGCTGGAGCCAGCAGCCGGTTAGCTTAGCTTAGCTTAGCTTAGCAAAAAGACTGGAAGTAGGGGGAAACAGCTAGCCTGACTCTGTCCAGAGGCTACAAACACCTCTAAAGCTCACTAATGAACACATCTGATTTGTTTATTGCAAATAGAAATTGTGTAAAAGCTACAAGTTGTGGTTTTACGGGGGGTAAAATGCCACTTCTTCTTCTGAGAGCAGTAATTCAACAGGGTAACCAGCTGCTTGCTGCAGCAGTGGAAGCCTATTTATCTTCTCATCTCATCTAAATCTCAGCAAGAAGGCGAAAGAGCATATTTTGCCAGAAATGTTGAACTATTCCTTTAAGTCGATTTAACACTCATAATGACGTCCTTTCACTTAAGTAAATTTGCAGACCAGTCTATTCAAGAATGACCCTTCAGTCTCTCTCTCAACATTAAAGCCAACATAGACAAAACATCTACAATATCATCGTGACTGGGACAACAACTCAATCTGTTGAGGAAGATCAAGTGAGAGGAGCTCCAGAACAGCTACTGATGAACCTTGTGAGATTGTTTTGTCAAGTATTATTTGTACTTGTACTTGTTTGTACTGGAGCAAAAGACCTGAGCACTTCCTCTTCCACTGTCCTGGTGTACATGCCTGCATAAATCTAATAGTATATCTTGTCTTCCTCGCGCTTCAGCAGTGTGAATGCATTGTCTAATCCCATTAAAGCAGTTTTAAAATGGCTTCAAATCGGGAAGAGGTCATGTTAAAGAGAGCAACACATGAGAAGAGTTTGTTTTGATGTGTGGTGTGTGTGTGTGTGTATGTGTGTGTGTGTGTGTGTGTGTGTCATTATCTGTGAGACAGACCCCTCCAGTGAAGGCCTAGCTACTCTTTCATCTTCAGCATCTGCTATTCTTCTTAGAGCTCTCAGGCCAAACCTCCACTGTCTGTCTGCTCTGCCTATTTAGATGCGACCACTTCAGTCATATCTGCAGGCTCGTTATGGCAGCTACAAAACCAATCCCTCCTTGTGCTTATTCAATCAGAGAGGGATCTTGTGAGCTTTCTTGTCTGGCTGCTCCCTCTCCGAGGCTTTGTACAGACATTTCGAAACAATCAGATCTATTAGTTGGGACTTGTGATGTCTGATCCCTCCGCTGTACATGGGGCCGTCGTGGAAATGCGGCACACCCCGTTCAGAAATTCCTTGAGGTTTGCTAAAAAAGAAAGAGAGAAAATTTGTCATGGATCCAGTCATAATCTTTGAAGCAAAGCCATGAATGTCTTTAAGAATTGAATTCCACTATATTGCAATGTGAAGGATGGTGATGGTAACAGAAGGTGTCACATCCAACAGACCAACTGGGGAAAGATTTGCACATTTCTTTTACAAAGAAACAAAGCAGTGGAGGAGAAAAGAGTCAAAATACAACAATGTGATTTCCTTCCAGTATACAAAAGGCTGAGCAAAAGTTTATGAACCATGAGCAGATTTTATTGTGATTGATAACAGAAACATATTATATATATTAAAACGGTCTTATCTGGCCACATTACAGTATGAAGTATAATATTTAGTGTAGCTGTTTTTCTGCTGTTTTCTTGAACCAAATAATAATTTTCTACTTTCAGGTTGTTTAATTGTAAATGAGAACTGTTCAGTTTGTGACAAACTAAAAGGCAAAAGTTGTTAGAAGAAAGAATTACTTGAAATATAAAAACTGTGTTTTTAATTGATGGTTATATTTCATGTATATGATGTCACATTTATTCCTTACATTTAGCAGCAGCATTGGTTGATTACGATGGTAACGCTGTGATGATTTTATGGATTAATAAATATACATCAATATAATATAATGTTTAAGTCATAAAAAGGGATTGCTTTATGAAATGATACAACACAACATAATAGTTGATACTGTAATATAACAAAATGTCATACATATATATAAAATAATGATTACTTAGCAGATGACATGATGTTGCTACGTGCCCACACAAGTCAAGTCCAGGTTTGTGGGAAGTCACACGCTCACCAGGCTGAGAGGGTATGACTTACGTGTTGTCATTACATCACTCAGAGGCAAAATTCAAAACATTAATTAGACAGACTTCCCCGGCTTGTTTGCTTTTGGACTTGTGAGTGACGTGTGTATGCATTTGTGTGCATGCAAGCATGTGCGTATTTGTGTGTGCACACACATGCATGCTCTTCTGTGAATTTCAAGTGGTTTGGGTTCACTCACCAAGCTTTGGCTTTGCAATGTGAGTGTGTATGTGTGTGTGTGTATATGAGTGTGTTTTGTCACAGAGTGGTTAGCGCAGCGCTGATTGCTGTTTATTTGGTCTGTGGGTTGACACAGAGCCTAGCAGTCAGGAGCGCTACTGACAGCTCTGTTTTTATTGGGTCCCTGTGGCCGTACCAACACTAACACTGGGGTCGCGCTCTTCCCTCTGTCCCCCGCACCCTCAGACTCCCACACCAAGCTTCCTGTCTGTGCTTCGAAATAACATACAGTAAATTATTTTGATTACAAGAAGATATTTTCAAAATTGTGGAGGAAAATGCTGATAAAGAAACTGTGTCTAAAGGGATATTAAACAGTGTTATTGGCTGATTTTGATTGCTGACGAGGCTCACAACCTTTTAAAAGAATAGCTGGCAAATATTGGTTAGAGTTATTTGCTTTCTTTGCCAAGAGATTGATACTACTCGCATGCACACTAAGTATCAAGCTAGATTAACTTAGCATAAAGACTGGAAACAGGTAGGTTGCCTGACAAAGGCAGCAAAATCTGTCTACCGGCACCTCTATAATTATACCTTCTTTCTTTAATCCACACAGAAACCAAGCCAGGCTCGCTATTTCCTCATGTTTTCAGTCTTTATGCTAAGATAAGCTAAGATAAGCTAATCGGCTGCTTCACATTTACTGTGCAGAACTGAGAGTGGTATAAATCTTCTCATCGAACTCTGGGCAATAAAGCAAATGAGCATATTTCTCAAAATTATGAGCTATTCCTTTAACAACACGCATCTGTCATGCTGATTTAAAACATAATGTTGAGGGGGAAAAAAATATGTTTATTTTGCAACTGGACTCTTACTTTCATAGTTTTGGGCATTGTTCCAATTGGTTACATTTTCCTCATTAACTAAATTACTAAATTACTAACTGGGATGTGACATTATTTGGAATATTTGAAAAACAGAAACAAAGGAGAAAGTTTAAAGGATACACATCTGTTAGAGTTGGCACAGAGACTCGTGATTTTTTTGTACCATGTAATAGGGAGTGATTGATTGATCGACTGGAACCTTTTTTTTATACAGGCGAATGTACCTAGAAGCAAGTAGTATACAAAGTGATTGTTTTTTGTTAGGGTTAGGGTTGTTTGAATCTGGTATGGAAGATTTAATGTAAATGTAAATCAGTCTTATTATTGTCATTTCACAGTATATACAACGTTTACAGCATTTTACATACTGTACATGAAACTAAATTTGTCCTCTGCATTTGACCCCTTCCATATACATTACTATACACATTAGGAGCAGTGAGCAGCCGTAGGCACCCAGGGAGCAGTTAGGGGTTAGGTGCTTTGCTCAAGGGCACCTTCGCAGTGCATAGGAAGTGGAACCGGCACCTTTTATGTGTCCATATTATGTCCTGTACCAGAAAACTTTAAATACATTTCAATAAATACATTTCAATAAATTTGTAACAAGTTGTAAATGATACTATACACAATATTGTAGCCAAACATTACATTAAAAAAAGCCACCATGACAGCTACGAGATGACAATTAAATTATAACATAAATTATTGATTAATAAAACCAATAACCAGGTTGTAAAAAAAATACATTTTCCTTTAACATTTGAGTTTTTTCACAGTCTGCAAAATTGAATTGAGCAAATAAATGCCTTGATTTTCTGGCTGAAACGTCTGTGAACCGTATTCACTCTTGTCATGGTTCAGCCCCTGCACACACACACTTACACATGCTGACATGCTCAAGATGGTATATGGTACATGAACACTTAGTCAACCATGTAATGTGACCCGGTCTCAGCCAACACACACACACACACACACACACACACACACACACTGGTAAAGAGGTCATCGCTTTGCCATCTGGTGGTCAGACCCCCACCACACACACACACACACACACACACACACACACACACACACACACACACACACACACACACACACACACACACACACAGTCACACATAATGATATAATAACCTGTACTGTCCAACACACTACGGAAAATGTCTGTCTGTTCACCCAACCTAACCACTGACACACACACACACACACACACACACACACACACACACACACACAGCTGACATCTCCCTTTACTGAGAAGAAGAAGTGATGAGAGTAAAGGGGGAGGAGAGGCGATGGGGTGGTGGGATGCCGAGATGGGCCGGCCGTGTGTGTGTGTGTGTGTGTGTGTGTGTGTGTGTGTGTGTGTGTGTATCCCTGCTGTAACGGCTGCTCCCGGTCGTCCACACAGCTGTCTGCTAGACACACTCACACACACAAACACGCACACACACTGAGCGGCTGTGAGAGATCCCCCCCACGATTGCTTCCCAGGCCTGTGACGGAGAAAAAGGAAAGGAGGGGAAACGGCTGGAAAGGATTACACACACAAACACACACACTTACACACCAGCAACCACACGTGAAACATTATGCATACGTACACACACACACACACACACACACACACACACACACACAAACAACAACAACACGTTAATAAGTCTTCAGCTCTCTGGCACCAAAGCATTTAACATTGTACTCTGTTTTTGGATGAGCATGTTAAGTCAAGTCAAACTTAATAAAGTTTTTAATCCTTTTGAGGGGAGGTTTTCTTCTGCATTTGAAATCAAAGTAACGGCTGAGGTCTGGGAAAAATGGGAAACACTGTGATAACAAGTGGTCAGACAGCTTAACTAGTTCACTTTATTTGAAGGTAAAACCAAAAAGTGAACTGAAATGTTGGCACATCGCACAGCAAATTACAATCTCTGGGCTACTGTAGAAACATGGTGGATCCCATGAAAAGATACCTATGAATATTATATGCCATTTCTGCCAATAGATCCCTATAATGTTTCACACTTGACCTTTAAGAAAGAGTTTGAGGTGGATGGTTGGGTGCAGGGCCTTAGTGCCATTAAGATTTCACATTAAGATTGGAGATCTCAGTTGGCATCACAGTTATTGTGTTAACCACGAAGGTATTGTTTCTCTAGTTTTATCCATGACCATGATCCTCTAAATGTAGTTAAAGTTGCCTGAAGTACAGAGGCCCTGATGCTGCAAAGTGAGAAAACACAACCAAGTACAGAAGTGCTGTAAGGTGCACAGACAACAATGGAAACTGTTGAAGAACGTGGCTGGGACACGCTGTGTTGCCGTGGTTTGTTACTCAGAAAGTTATTGAAGCTGGTTGTTTGAAAGTGGTGTTAAAAATAAGCTAAAATTTAAGTTTGTTCTTTTTTGGTGAGACACCAAGAGTGTCCCTACCATGTTGGTGCGGGTTCATGACTTTTTAGTGTCCCCTGTGTTGTCTGTTTTCTGTATTTTGTCATTTTTCTAAAGGCTGCACACATGCTGTTAAATTGTTGAAGATGTTTCTTAATTCAGTCTATTTGCATGTGTTTTATGAAGCTGAACGATACATTTAACATAAGGAATGTAGGTTTAAAAATGGTCCTACATTTCCCAATACTTCAATAAGACTTCAACAAATGTCAGCACAAAGTGAGTGGGCTGCCATTCTGTCACTAGGAAATTGTTCATAGTTAACAGGAAACAGGACCATAGTCTCAACAGGAAGCAATGGGCAGCCAACCTCACGGGCAGTAGGTAAGCTTTTAAGAAGGATTTGTCCATTTAACACATCTTCTTTTTCAACAGATATAAAGATGCGTCAAATGTGCCACAACATGTTTCGTTATAATGTTTTGTCATTCACAAGTGTGTGTTGTCCAGACAAACAGATATGTTACGTAAATGTTCATATCCCTTCAAAGAGTGTCCGTTTCTCTTCTGGAAATGTTTTGATTGCAGAAACTGTGCTATTTTAGTTATTTGTTGAGGGCCTCGTGGTATTTCGGACATGCCATGTGAAAACATGCAGCGGACTCAGGAATATTCCCCATGTTTATGTTTGTATCGGGCGCTTTACGCTGTGTTTGTTATCCCTACAGATGGAAATAGACAGAGGCTGGAGTTTCACAGGCACAGGAAAGGCTTTGTTGGCAACCAGGGCACTGAGAGCTGTCACTGCAGGCGTTAGTATCTGTAAATCTGCACTGATACAAGGATACAAGGCAATTTGTCATTTTACAATGCAGTGTTGTATATTGAAATTCAGGTTGCAGTTTACTTTACGTTACTTGTAAAAACAATATATATATGCAAAAATGATTTACAGTAAA